GGATTGGCTGGATCAGCCCTACCTCGTGCCGACCCTAGGGGGTCCCTGCATATGCCAAGGGGACGGTTGGTCACTGTGGCCAGGGGCCACGGGGCCCCATCTGCGCCTGGCCCTTTTCGTTCAGGTGTGGCCCTCCATTACCTTATCACCATGTCAACAATTGAAGGCCATCTTCACCTCACCCGGGGGAACGCTGTCAAATGCGGCATGTCCGAGTCCATCACATGAACTGCCTTGGAAAACTTGGATATAAGGGCCCATTGGACAGCTCACAATCTAGGGAATGGCTTCACTTGATTTACCACAAAGCCAACACCAGGCTCCTTCTGGACGTTACAATGTGATGGAAGTGGGCGGTTGTGCGCTAACGGGCCAAGTGAGAAGCGGTCCGAGTGGAGGTGGTGGTCCAAATCTTCGACCCGAGAAAGGCATGCCTGTCCCCTGAATCCTTGAACACCACGAGTCTGTGGAGCTTTTGAGTTCATGATACGAGGGAGTTTTGCAAAGATATCAAGATCGCCGAGCCATTCTGATGAGCTATTTAAGTTAACTTCCCCACACGCACCAAAAACTTAGACGTACGCACCAAAATTTCAATGCAACGTCTATACTAAACGCTACATTCTAATTCCAAGGCTATAAAATGGGACCTCTAGGCTTTGGGATGTCTTGAATCTCCCTATATCTTTCATTTTATAAAATAAAGGCTTTTAGTTGAATAAAACCTTGACCGTAGTAAATGTGGCGAAATCGAGGAAGGTAGCCGTTATATCTTCCCAATTTGAAGTTTTGAAAAGAAAAGAAAGTATAGGGTATATGAGCTTCGGTTTTTAAGGAGGCTTTTATTATTTTCCTAGTTCAAAATTAGGCGTTGTGGCTAAATAATAATATATTTGACTTGGGGTGGTGCGTACGTCCAAGTTTTTGGTGCGTGTGGGGAAGTTAACTCCTATTTAAACATGAAAACCAAAATGGTTTGAAAATTCCATCTTTGCGATAGACAGGGGCATGGAGTTGGCCGAATGAATATTTTACAGTAGCATACCGGCAAGTCAATAAGTCACCAAATCCCAGACTCGAAGTCCGACGGAAAAGCTTCCGTTGGATCCTTGGTATTGATTTCATGAACTTGAGTCTAGGGCAACACGACAGTCAGGTATGAGGCTCGTGAGGCTCGCCTACATATGGGAGTACCGTAGGAAGAAAAGAGGTCGACTGGGGCAATACAAAGGCGACTGGACGGGCGGTGCACCTGTGCTACAGTATGGACCGACCACAAACACCGAATGCGCAAAATGACTGGCATAAAAGGACTACGTTTGCGCTTTCACGGAGTTTGTGTTTCGTGAGGCAAGCCAGCCAGAGAAGTTTCATCTCTTCATGGTGCTTGTCTTGGAAACGAAGAGAAGGGAATATGAAAGCAAACGGTTTACCTCGCCTTCAACTCTTTCTCGAGTTGTGGGTGTCCTTGTTCCCTCGTCTCGGAAAAGCAGCTTCTTGATTCTTGCAACCGTCCTCCCACAGTCTTTGGCTTCAAAGGAGTGTCATCTTTTGACCACTTCCGAGATAATATCATGGCTGCACCAACAGAGCCACCGGCGACAGCATGGCTGACAGTGACTGTGACCACTTGGCTCGGCGGTACACACACACTACTGCCAGCTGCTGACTTTACGTGTCCCGGAGCAGACATCGAGGCTGAGGGCTCGACCTTACTCAACCTCGTCCAAGTGGCCCCTTACGCTTCTGCGCCGTTCACGTATGCGGCGCCCCCTCGTGATAGTACCATCTACTCATGCGGATATCTGATTTCGGATGCTCGCGCGGCGTCCCCAACAAGCACATCCTCCACTTCCCCGACGGCAACCTCCTCCCACACAACGGGACAGTCTTCCCACTCGACGGCGTCTGCTACTCACTCTGCTGCTACTCAAGTCACCCACACAAAGACAAATGTCGGGGCCATTGCCGGTGCGGCCGTCGGAGCGGCAATTCTGGGCCTCATCGTCGGAGCTCTCATCTGCTATCTGTGTCTAAAAGGTGGCAAGCGTCGAAAGCGCCGTGATTCTCTCAACAATGAAGCCACTGCGATGACCACCTTCCTCCCTCCAGCTCCGCGGCCAAAGGAGAGATTGTCCTCCAGAGAAAGTGTCCGAAACGATGCTGTGTTGCTTCCGTCTGCTGCTGATGTTGCTGCTAGTGGTGGAGGTGGTATCAACAACGTCCTGTCTTCCATCGGCATCCACGAAGGCGCCAACGACGAGGAGATCAAGTCGGAATTATCTGCCCTCGGCTATCTCCTCCAGGAACACGTCCAGAACAACTACCACCTCGATCCATTGGATGGGAACAGAAACAATATCTTCAGAGTTAACCAGGCGCTATCAGACCCAGCCTTTGGCTTGGACGACCGCAGCCACGCCCTGATCTTGAAGCTTTCCACGGATCCACAAACTCGATTCGCTGCCATTCGTCACTTTCTTGCCCTGACCATCTTCTCTGCTTTGGATCTGCATCATGTTCGTTCTCACCCGGGTAGTGTCTCGCTCTTGCCGCGACAGGTTACTTCCTTCCTTGAGTCGATTCCCTCGGCAGGAGCGGGAAAGAACGGCATGACTCCTCAGAGTAAGCGCCTTCCTTTTCTTTCTATAACCCGCTGGGCATAATGCTAACACCCTACCAGCAGCAACAGCCCTCTCCCTCTGGCGCCGCCTCTCCGCTTACCTCCTCCTCGATAAACCCTCCTCAATATCCCCCATGGACCCCGTGTGTACCTCCCCAATTTCCCCCATTAACGTCACCAACAACATCCCCACCAACTCTACCGAAGATTCCAACCGCCGCTGCTCTTCAACAACCATCACCTCCCCCACCAGCCAAACCCAGGGCTCAATCCCAACCCTGACCCTCACCCCTCCACCGACAATCACCGCCCAAGTAACCTCCCTCCGCGCCTCACTCAACAAGTTCCTGGGCATCTTCGTGCACTCGGACCGCCGGGCGATTTTCGATCAAGAAAGAAACTTGGAGGGTGTGATTCATGAGTGTGTGAGTTTCGGGTATGTGTTGTTTGCGCATGGGTGTGAGTGGTGGTTCGTATTTGATAAGGAGATGGATAGGCATGGAGCTGGACAGGAACGAGAGGATGGGGAGGGTGAGGAGGAGATGCAGAAGAGAACGGGAATCTTGGTCCTGCCGGGTTTGGAGAAGTTGGGGGATGGGAAGGGGGAGGATTATGAGGTTCCGAAGGTTGTTGTTGAGGGGAAGACGGTGGTTGTTTAAACTTTGGAAGGCCTTTGGGAGTGCCGCTAGCTAGGGCGTGTTTGTTCAGGCAATATGTAGCACAGTGACAAAAGGGGGGCTTCTTTTGGTGGCCTAAACGCTTCGGGTTAGGGATAGAAGAGCTTCTCTTACTACCTACTAAAATACTGCCGGAACGAACACAGCCTAGGCAAGAGACAGGGAATAATTGGCCTGATTAATGATGCTCAAGACCTTGGACGCAAGCAAGGCCATCGTGGAATTTTAGTGGACAAGAAAGTCACGGTGAAATCGCAAAACGCACTCGCTTGGAGGTTAGGATAACAAAAAGAGGACATGATCATCAAGGGTAGCGATATGGAGTTCCCCATTTTCCCTCTCAAAAACGACAAACTCCCTTCAATTCAAGCCCACCCTAGGTAGATAAATATTCTCTAAACCACTCAAAGGGCGTATAACTTATCATAGTCATAGCAAAGAACACCCGTCTTTCCACAGCCCAAGATGTCCATCACATCACCGACAGTGGCAGACTCATAACTGACACCAAGCGTCATTGGGAAGTCCAGGGTAACCGGGGGGCTGGTGGGTTCCATCATCTCGCTCGGGCCCGAGATCTCGTTCAGGCGAGTAGTCAAGTTCAGCTTCTGCCACGACCACCACAGACGGTCGAGGTTGGCATGATGCAAAAAGAAGATGGGATCAGCTGGCGACTGGAAGAGATCACCCATTTGACCTATTGATCAACACACAGAAAAAGTCAGCAATCGCATCCCAACGAAGTCTTTCCAAGAAAGGAAACCAGAACATACCAAAAGTGCCCCCAACACCATAATGTCCACCCCCATGCACCCCACTCTCCTCAAAGCTAGTCTTACCCTCCACGCTCCCCGTAAACTCTTCATAACTGCCCATCCCCAGCGTCAGACTTGTCTGATCCCAGTTCAGCCACCTCGCCGCAAACTCCGGCGCCAAATCCCTCTTCAAGCACTGGTTATTCAGGACCGTGCTATTCCCCGGTCCCATATGCACCACATCCTTCTTACCCGCCCAGGGGCCATCATTCACGCACCCACCTCCGGTCCTGCCGGGGACAGGAGGGAAGAAGCTCGTCGGGTCGTTCGCCACCCAATCGCCGTTCCCGCCAAAGCCCGTGGTAGCGTCGAAGACGGGCGAGGAAGAAAACTTGGACAGGTCGCTGGGGTCCGAGTCGAGCGTCCAGTCCCAGTAGGGCTGCGCGCCACTGTACCCGCACTCGTTGCGGAGCATGGACTCATAGGTGGCTACGAAGAGGCGGTGCCAGGGCAGGAAGTGGGACAAAAATGCACGTCCATGGTTTGCAGCACGTGCGTGTAGAGGAGGTCGTCGTAGCGCGAGAGAACGCCGGTGGTGGTGGGTGAGAGGGGGGTTAGGGCGGGCGAATCCTTTTGGGAGAGGAGGCAGCTGACTGCGGTGAGGTAGGAGGATTTTTCGGCGGTGGTGAGGGTGCGCCTAGGGGAATTGGAAGTGAAGGAGTTAGTTGAATGCTTCGTTCGTTGACTGAAAGCTGTGATGGGGGAAGGAACCTGAAGTGTTTCTTACCATTCCTTCCTGACGACAGGCTTCTTGCAAGCTGCTGCATCTACGCCAGCTGCGCTGAGGAGAAGCCCGAGGGCTACAGCGCAGGAGCGGAGGTTTTGCCTTCCAACCATGATGATTGAATGGTCGACTATGTCAAGCGATGCCTGTGTAGGTAGGAATTCCTATAGAAGTGATTTTGGCGCAGTCAACGAGACTATGATGATCTACTGTGTAAGTACGGCTGGGGAGTCTGCAACGAGAGATGAGATCCAGTGAAGTAGCAATAAAGGAATGGAACCGAGGTTGGGATGAAAGGCGGTTCAGGGCCTTTATACTACCCAAAACACCTTCTCCAGCGTTATTCCTGACGGCTCCCACGATGCTTCTTGCTTCGGCCCTACGACCCCGAAGTTGAAAACATTTCACTTGGCAAACGGACCCTGCATCCGCTTTCGAACATCGAGGGATCACTCTAAAATCTCACTACCAAGACAATGTGGACAGGGGGTGAGCAAGCCTCAACCGAGCTTCAACGGTACCGAGTGAAGGCTAAAGAAAATTATCAGCCCAGCTGGGCGTAGCATTGCTGGAGCGTCTATCAAAGCGTCGAAAGGGTATCTCGTAATGAACTGGCCGTGATTGGAATCTGAGGTCCGGCGTCACGCAATTCACGTGTGTTTGGCTTGTTTGCCAAGTGCTTCTAGTATGTTGGAGGACAAGTCTAGAGAAATGCGTTGTCCTTGTAAAATGCCGTCGGGATGTTGATGTGTTGCAGAATCTCAGGGGTCAATGTAACCTCGTCAACCTTGGCCTCGGGTGTGGGATGCATCTTGAGGAAAATAAACTTCACCTACCAAGCAGGCAACCGCCGTCTTCCCATGCACCCTCGAGGGCGGTGGATCAAAAACCCCCATATACCCTCCTCCTCTTCGCCAACCTCCAAACCGCCCTTTTCAAGTCCAGATCCTCATCCCTATCCCTATCCCTATCCCTCCTCTGAACGCCCTCCTCCCCATCTCCAAAAGGCACCTCATCGCTCCAACATCCTAGTCCATCCTCCTCCGGCACTTCCCCCATCCCCCCTCCAAAATATCCCCTAATCACCTTAGCCATACAAACACTCGGCGCCGCCAAACTCGTATGCCCCCAACTTCCTCTCTGCACCAGCACCCTCGCCCCCCTAAATCCCCGTGCATTATTCCGTGCACTAACCAACGGCGTGACGTTGTCGAATTCATTGTTGATGAGCAACACCGGGTGCGCCGTCTCTACATCCTTAAAAGCCTCTAACGAAGAAGCGTTAAAGGGGTTCCAGATGGGTCTGATGGTTCGACCGGCGCACGAAAGCCGGAAAGAAGCTTGCACCGCCCCCGCCGCTTGCGAGATGTTTAGTAACTGTTGAGCGTAGAGCGCAAAGTCGTGGGGCGTGGAAGTGAAGGGTAATGCGTCGGAGCACATGACTGCTGAGGAAGCGTCGGGGTTACTTTCTTCTTCTTGGAGAGGGGTGAATGGGGTAGGAGGAACTGTGTCGTCTTCATCGTCGGCCTGGCATGTATTTGGGGACGAGGGAATCAATGGTGGAGAGTCGGATAGGGTGTAGCGGTGATATGGGAGAGCGTCGCCTGCTTCAAGACTGGAGAGCACTAGGGCAATTTGGGGGAAGCGGAGGATGGGTTGGTAGAGGGCTGTGGAGAGCATGCGGCGGATGTGGGAGTAGGTTACTAGTGAGGGAATATGATAGGGTTCGGTTGGGTCTGAGGATGCAAGCTGGCCCTGGGGAATAAGGATGGGATGAGTTTGTAGCTTGGTAAGTAGGGCGTCGAGACGGGACTTGATCGAAGGGGGAGAGGAGGCGTGGAAATAACAGCGATTGGGACCGGCAGAGTGACAGAAGGTGTAGAAGGCTTCCATGACTTTGTCGGTGTCGTGGAGGAAGTTGATGTACGTGCCGTTGTACCACTCCTCGTAATCGACATTACCTGTAACAGTTGGGTTAGCCATCTTCATTCCTTCATCGAAGTAAGTCTTTACATGAAAACTCACCATCGTTAACCATCCTCTCCACCCTATCCGGATACATAGCAGCAAACGTCCCACCAAGCACCGTCCCATAGCTAAACCCCCAATACTTCAGTTTCTCTTCCCCCATAGCCTGAAGAATCGCCAGCAAATCCCTAGCATGGTACGCCGTGCTGCTATGCTCCAAAATCCCCGACTCCTCCAGGTTCCGCTCACAAACCTGTGAGTACGCGGCCGCCCGAGCAAAGGCATCGTACACCGTCCCTTCATGGGCATCGATAATGCCTGGATCCTGCAAATTCCAGTAGACACGATCCTGTGCCGAAACCCAGCAGTCGATCCGCGGCGTTGAAGCACCGACACCTCGTGGGTCCCAGCTGATGACATCGTGCATGGTGCCCACGATAGTCTGCAAGGCTCTGCCGTGGTCGCGGAGAGACCATATACCTGACCCTCCTGGTCCGCCAGGGTTGAAGATGATGGGTCCCCGGTAGTCGGGGCTGTGCGAAGGAACGGAAGCTCGGAGCCGGACAATGGCTAAGACGACGCGCCGATCTGAAGCAGAGCTGTTGGTCGTTTCTGCTTGTTGCCAGTCCATGGGGAGATCCAACCGCGCGCAATCAAATTCCTTGGCGTAGCATGGTTGCCATTGTATTGGTGGTTGACTGGGTGTGATATCTGCCCAGTTGAACCCATCTTCTTCCTTTTTGTTTTGTCGGTCCTTGTTTGACGGAGGGGGTGCGTTGGTAGGTGACCATCTTGTGGTTGACCAGGAAACGAAGGGCAGATGTGACAGCGACAGCAGTACCAGTAGTGCTAGTGCTATTGTTGCACTCAGCCATGCAATCTTCGGGATCCCCGAATCCCTATTCCCGTGTAAGTGATGCCGTTCATTGTTGACGGACACCCGGTGACTCGCTCCGGGTCGAAGTTTCCGGTGCATCGTATACTTGCTCGCCATGGACACCTCTGGAGGAGTACGGTTGTGTTCCAAGGTGACAAGTCCATGTGGGTTGAAGGATAAGGAGGATAAGAAATATATAGGGAGGCGAGGACTTGATCACCGTCATCTAAACTATGAATGTGGATGTCCTGAACATGAGCTGAACTCTTTGCTGTACGACTCAAGGATTCGCCATTATTGGAAGCGTCGGGGTTGATCATGTCTCGGAGATATTGGGCGCCATTGGAAGTTGTGTTTCAGCTGACGGTGGGAAAAGGAAGGCAGATTGGCTGACACACCTGAGTCTGGCGATATCGAGGTGTGGTTGATCACCACTGGGCAGGTAGCTCCTGCATACCCTACGTACATGTGAAGTGATGGAGGTCGTATATGTAAAGCCCGACCAAGGGTTCAGTCCTTCGTTGTCCAGATAACGAACGTTCGGAAAACGCTCCAATAAAGACGCCGCTATAACGGAAGGTGAGCATATCAGCCCCAAGTCCAAGCGGTGATGGATCGCTGTCCGGAAAACGGAACTGGCGGGGATGAACTGCACGCCCAATTGGAGTTCGTCCCGTTCCGCAGGGCAACCCCGCACGATACAACACGATGTCTGAAGTGGAGGCCGAGGAATCTTTGGCGATCTCAGATCATGCTCTTCAAGAGACGAGGGTGAAGAGAATGCCTATGTTCGATCAACAAGGGGTTGTCGTTCACCACTTGGCAAATATCAGTGGTTTCCAACGACAATCACATACCAACAGTGAGCCATTGGTAGGTAGAATCTCCTTTATTAGACACTTAAATGGTAGACAGTTTTTCAACAAAATAAAAGGAAAGAAAACAAGCATAAACAACCAATGCCTTGATGTAATGCGGGGGAATCATTCGACATAACATTTTCCTCGTTACAACACCCCTAAGCCTCTCCAAACGCCAATGCCAATCATGCTCACAGGATAACACAACTGAAATTCGCCAACGTACCCGAGACCGGAGCAGTCCGAGCTATCAGGCGTACCGAGTGTTTGTTCGGGGTCATTGCCCTATTCTTGAGGCTTGTCGGCCTCCTTTTCCTTGTCCTCTGTCGCGGCTGCCGGTACTTTTTCAGATGCCTCCTCGGCAACCTTGCTTGGCTCTTCTGCCACTGGCTTCTCAGCGGTAGTTTCAGGGACGGGCGAGGCGGCCTTGGGGGAGGCTGGCGTTGCCTCGGTAGCGGGCTCTGCAGTAGCGGCGGCGGGAATTGACTTGGGTTCCGCCTCTGGCTCCGGAGCAGGGGCAGTCTCAACTTCCTCGGTCTTGATCTCTGCCTCGGGCTCCGTGGGCTTTTCATCGGCCTCAGCCATATCCACATCCCCGTCCTTGTCAACCTTGGCCGCAGAGCTTGCTTCAGGCTGAGCAGCTGTCGTTGCGGGAGCCTCAGCTTCAGGTTCAGCGGTCGCTGGTGGGGCTTCGTCATCGTCAATCATGGTCTCGTCATTGTCAACAGTAACGGGCTCTGCTGGCTTAGCAGCGGCCGCGGCAGCGGTAGCGGCAATCGAAGCCGGGGCGGGTTCCCCAATGTCGAGGTCCATATCTTCCACAGCCTTGGGGTTCTTGTAGTCGAGAATGGACTGGCGCGGTGGGCCATCTGGCTTGTACACACCATTGGCTTGAGCCATGTCCTCGTCATCACTCTCTTCGAACTCGTCCTGCCTGGCCCTCTCCTTCTCCCATTGCCGCTGTGTACGTCGGACATCCTTGTTCTCGTCCTCGTCCATGTCATCAAGCTCGTCTTCCTGGTCGTCGGACATACCGAATCCCTGGCGCGGAACGTCCTGCATTTGGACAGAGGGCACTGGAGCAGTCTTCTTCAGGTTTTCTATCACTGAAATCTTGATCTTCTCCAGGTACTCTGGGCTGTTGGCGTTCTCCATATTGGAAGAACGGACATCAAGCTCGTAGTCGGGTCCGTAGTACTGAAGAGGGTTAGCAAACTGGCAGAAAATACAAGACTCGATCCACTTACATCGTAGTACTCGTTGTATGGAAGGACCGGGTTCATCTCGACACCGACCAAACGGCCAGTCTCGTAGGCCCAGGTCCTTGCAACGTTACGCATGGTATAGCCACCACCGCCTAGAACCAGAGTTGGCAGACCAAAGCTCCGCACGTAGTTAACGCAGTTGGCATGGCCGCGCATGCTCAGATTGAAGCAGCCAAGACGATCACCAGACAAACTGTCACCACCGCACTGGAGGACAACAGCCTCAGGCTGGAAGTGTTCCATGACGGAGCTGATGACGGGCTGGAAGATGGAGCTGTAGGTATTGTCGTCGATTCCATCGCGAAGGGGGAAGTTGACGGCATAATTCTTGCCCGATCCGATACCAATGTCGCGCAACTCGCCGGTACCGGGGAAGTACTCGCCGTACTTGTGGAAGGATACGGTCATGACGCGATCGGTTGTGTAGAAAGCTTCTTCGACACCATCGCCGTGGTGAACATCGATATCAACGTAGAGAACGCGCTTCTTGAACCGCAAGAGCTCGAGGATAGCCAGGACGATATCTGTTCAAAGAATAATCGGTAAGCATTGGTGTCGTGGTTTGGGGGTACCAGACAATGGTGGATGGCCACATACCGTTGACATAACAGAAGCCACTAGCCTCGCTCTTTTTCGCGTGATGCAGACCACCAGCCCAGTTGATGGCAATATCGCACTTGTCACGATTCAGTCGTGCGGCGCCCTCCATACTGCCGCCGGCACTGATGCCGCAAAACTCGAAGAGACCGTCGAAAACGGGGCAATCGTCGCCGACATTGTATTTGCCCTGCTCACGCATGAAGCCGTCCATGTTATCGGGCGTAACTTTCTGCAAGAACTCAATGTACTCGTCGGTGTGAAATTGTGTCATTTCGGCAGTAACGGCTGGTTTTGCGCGCTAGCACGAGAGAGAGTCAGTTGTTTGTTGACATGGAGCCATCATCACCACCAGGATAAGAAGCCACTTACGTAAACCTCGAGAAACTTGTACACATTGTAGTTCATGACCAAGCTGTGGGCAAGCCTGATACGATGAGGCTTCATGGGGTGACCGGTCACGTAGGCGTAGTTGCCAATGTCGGAGTCGTAGAAGTAGGCGACCCGTTTCTTGTCATTGTGGACGACGGTATACAGCGGCTCGTCACGCGCGACTCCGGCAGGATCGGTGAAAGTGGAAGGCATGGTTGGCAGATGTTGCCGGGTTGCCCGTCGTGTTGCGTTGGCGGAAACGGAAGACTAATCGTGGTACGATTCGGATTGTGGGTTGTGTCGTGTGTTTTGTAGTGTTTGAAAGGTGGTGGATAATATTCAGATCGAAGTGGAAGTTATTCGCTGATCGGGAGACGCTCTAGCTGGGATGGCCAGGACCCGTCGTGGAGGCAATGGAAAGGTCCAAGGCGCTAGGCTGGAAGGATGAAAGACAATCTGTAGTATAGTAACGATAGATTGACGAAAAATGATATCGAATAAATACACCCGTGATGTGGCAAATCACCAGGGCAGTGCAGTATCGTCGTGCCTTTGCCAGGAAGAAAGATGGTGTTTAGTTGGAGATTCCCGACGCCGGGGTGTCACTGGCAGAATTGATTCAGTTGCTTGTACGAGCCAGCGCTGGGTCGGTGCGTGTCCCTGCGTGGGCCCTGAAGCCGCGGGCGGACAGGCGGGGAAGCGCAACCACCACGCAATCCGAACGGGCAGGCACTGTTGTTGTCATGGGTGGGGTGCAATTGAGCTGTTCTCCATCTTTTGAGCAGTATCATCCAATAGAATTACGGATTGAATAGCGGTCATCCTCTCGGCAGGCAATTGGAAGCCGCCATGACCCTGCAACATGCTGATGTCAACCGCTTTGCCTGCCGAGTGGCAGACCATATAAGATTATGTAATCGACAGCTTTCGACCTTGGGTTCCGTCACTCCAGTGGACTTTGGCAGTTGGCGTTGCAGGCTGCCACAGCTTGTCGTCAACGCCGCCGCCAGCTCGCGGCAAGCTCCCCATGCTCCATGTTACATGCTCCAACCTGACGCGGAGACTCGTCCAGCTACAGAACCTCAACCCACCAACCAACCACCAAACAACAAGCCGCCTCGTCTGTCATCTACGAACATTCCACTTCGACTTTACAACCAAACCACCATTCGTCTGCATCGCCAAACCCCCCACCGACTTTTGCGCGACGTCATTCAACCCGAGCCACGACGCCAGTAATAGTATTCGAACCCCCGAAATATAGCTACCTCGATAATACACCACTTTCCAACCAACAGACACATTCAAGATGGATCGCATGCGCAGCTTGTTGGGCGGCGGGATGGGCGGTGCCACTGCGCCAGGAGCCGTATGTTTGTTCCCATTCCCAACCTCAACAACTTCATGGATTACAAGCTTGCCTGGCAAGTAGGTGGCAAAGGCACGATGCTAACGTACAGCTCTCACTTAGGACAACACCAACCTGATCGATAACTCGGAAACCGTCTACATCTCCTCTCTAGCCCTCCTCAAGATGTTGCGCCACGGTCGCGCCGGTGTTCCCATGGAAGTCATGGGTCTGATGCTGGGCGAGTTCGTCGATGACTTTACCGTTCGCGTCGTCGATGTGTTTGCCATGCCCCAAAGTGGTACTGGTGTCAGTGTAGAGGCCGTCGACCCCGTCTTCCAGATGAACATGATGGACATGCTCAGGCAAACGGGAAGGTGAGAGCATACTCAGCCCAAGTCGATTTCCCACCACCAGCCACTGACATATCCCCCCTTTGCAGACCCGAGGCCGTCGTTGGCTGGTACCATTCGCATCCCGGTTTTGGCTGCTGGCTTTCCTCGGTTGATATCAACACCCAGCAAAGTTTCGAGCAGCTCAACTCGCGCGCGGTTGCTGTGGTTATTGACCCCATCCAGTCCGTCAAGGGCAAGGTTGTCATCGACGCTTTCCGCCTCATCAACCCCCAGTCGCTCATGCTGGGCCAAGAGCCCCGCCAGACGACATCCAACTTGGGCCACCTCAACAAGCCTTCCATCCAAGCGCTCATTCACGGCCTCAACAGGCACTACTACTCGATTGGCATCAACTACCGCAAGACGGCCTTGGAGGAGAACATGTTGATGAACCTGCACAAGCACGTTTGGACCGAGGCCCTCGAAATGGAGGACTTCCGCTGCGAGGGCTCGAGGACGAAGGAGAGACTCGACCGCCTGGTCAGCCTTGCCGATGGCTACGAGAAGAGAGTCAAGGAGGAGACAGAGTTGACCAAGGACCAGCTCAAGACACGCTACGTCGGCAAGCTGGATCCCAAGAAGCATTTGGAGGATGTCGGCCAGCAGCTTATCGAAGACAACATTGTGGCCGTTTCAAGGCAGATGATTGACAAGGAGGCGACCATTGCGAAGAAGGATACCCCCGCCGGGGCCAACGGCACCACACCAGGCGACCAGATGGAGGTTGAGGAGGAGCAGCTATAGGTACCTACCTACCTAACCAAAAGGACAAGCATGCATGACGTTTTCCTTTGCAGGCGCATACCTCCGACACGTGTGATTTTGTATGACTAGGCGTTAGGCATTAGGGTGGACAGCTAGACCGGTAGCCATGTTCAAGATTTGGTTTTCTTTTTCAGTGAATGAGGCTGTCTGTTCAGCAACAGGCTTTCAATGACTGGTTTACAGGTACAAGGCTGGTGTAAGTGACCCCAATGTTCCTTTGTTTCTTCGTCATTATCCGTGAATTTGAGACCGCAGGGTTGAACACATTGCCTTTGTGCACAGAGAGCTGTCCTTCGTTACACCCCATTATCCTTTGACGGACGCTATGCACAACGCCACCGCACCTATAATCGCATTGTTTACTTTTGGTGTTCATGGCATACCTACGTTCATCTTGTGGACACTTCGCATCCGAGTATAAGTAATGGAACGCCCACTCTTTCCCAAAGCGATTCAGTTTGTCATCCACGAAAACCCTACGACCATACAGACAACACTTAATCAATACCAACAGCAAATCAAGATGACTTTCACAGCTTACGTGAAGGCGACTTTGAGCGATTTGTTCTGCGTTACGCAACCCAACAAGAATAGTTATGTTCAAAGACACGGCAACAAAGCCGACGGCCCCAACGGCAGCCAGAAAGGAAGCCGTCAACATAAACGATGCTGCCCCGAAAAGGCCAGCATCCGGGGACTATCACCATCAATCCCACTCAGAAACATACGAACATCTGGTATCTACCCCCCAATCATCCTGCTCCCCCTCCTACTTCCCCTCGTCCACGTCCTATCCGTCTGCCTCAGAACCCACCTCCTACACCTCATCCTTCTCCCCGCCCGCGTCCCATTCGCCTCGGTTTCCCTCTAGGAGTTAAATCCCAAGCTAACAACACAGCGCCAGTTGAAGCAAATAAGAAACTCCTACCGCATCCATCATCCACCTCAGCACCAGCAACCTCAATCTTCCGCCTTTCTCCCCCCGACATCTACAAACCTCTACCACCCGTCCCCCTATTCCAAAAAAACTCTTCCATGTTTCCCTTCCCAGCGGCAGCATTCACCCCTCAGTCCCAAAAGGGTTCCTCCATGTCCGTCAAGGGTTACGCCCAGGCCCAGAGTGCTCAGCAAACCCACCAGCCTCAAACTCTCAAACAGCAACAGCAGGAAGCCGAGCAAGAAACCAAATTCCTAACCCTCCTCTCCCTCCTCGAGAAAGCTCTCCGACACACCCACTACGCCGTCTGCGGCCGCGCGGCGCTCTACATATGGGGATACCGCCAGAACCCCCCGGAAAACGTCAGCATCGTCTGTCCAGACGGTAACGAGGAGATCATTCTATTGTGGGCTAAGACGCAGGGGTGGACGGTTGTTGTTTCGGGGGTTAGGGGGTGTTCCTTTGAGGTAACACTTCCTGGGAAACCTGGGAAGGATGGAAAAATAAGGGAGGTTACGGTAAAGACTGCCCAACGCATGGGTTTAACATTGGGTCACGACGACCTCGTAAAAGAAGGCGGGATCATGCCAATGGCAGTTAAGGGGACCTGGGCCGAAGCCGAGAAAAAGGTTCTCAAAACGACGGCGGCTGTGGTTACCTTGCCTGCCCTGTTGGGCATGTTGATTGAAGGTTTCATTACCGAAGTTAACCCCCGCCACCATCATCATCACCAGCAGCATCATCACCAATCCGAACCCAAAGCTGAACCCAAATCAGAAGCAGCAGCCCGGGACTCTTCCCAGAAAAGGGTAGAAGAAGCAGCCAAGATAATTCTCTGGGTCCTCTCCCGCCTCGCAGAAAGAGGCGAACGCCTGTCCCAGGATCAAGTCCCGGAAACCTTCTTGACCCCCTTCCTGGCGGGATGGCCTGAGGCTCATGCCCTCTTGGAGGAGCTGGGCGTGTCGACTTTCGATTCACACTTTGATTATCATCAAGATCAAGATCAAGCTGACTCTCAACCGAAGCCCGAGCAAAAATCTGAGTCCGAGTCAAGGTCAAGGTTGACACTAGACGCTGGCACGTTGGCTGCTTTGGAAGGTTTGCCTTTTGTGCCTCCTATTCCTCCGAGGTCTCCAAAGCGGATGACGCCACTGTCGCAGAGGGCCCCAGAGCGAACGACAAGTGCCGCTTCTGCCGCTTCTGTCGCTTCTTCGTTGTCGTGTACATCGGAGAATACCATCGCCTTGATCCAGAACGAGATTGAAAGCTGGAATTATCTTTCGTTGGAGGAAGCTGCGCTGGCAACGAGGGAGTATGAGACTGCTTCTCCTCCACTCGCTGCTTCTAGACTTTCTCGACTTTCCTCCAAGGTTTTGACAGCCGAGACTGATTCGACGGCGGCTGAGACTGATCTAATGACCGAGATGACCGAGTCAATCAACGCTTGGACAACAGCTTATTCTTCCTCTTCTCTGGCTACCTATACCTCGACTGTTCCTGTTGTTCCTGCTCTTTCTACTGCTGGTTCGTCTTGTTCCTCAAAGAAGAGCAAGAGCGGGTCTCAGTTGTCATCGTCGAGTGTGACGAGTGGATCGCAGAGTGGACGGAGTACTGCTAAGCGCGTGTTGCCTCCTTGGAAGAGTTCTTGGGATGAGAGGATTGTGAGAAAGGGGGAGTATCCTGAGTGGATTTGAGATATTTGTGATGATAAGTGGTTTAGTTTTGGGTTCCGGGTCTTGGGTTCTCGGGTTCTTGGGTTAGAGCGGCTTTTTGCATTTTGGACATGAATGATTGAAGGATATATCATACCATATATCCAAGTGACTAATGATCATAGATTGTTTTTGAATTCACTTCGGTATTTTTGTACACTTGATTTGCTGCCGTTGGCACTCGCGATTTTGCACACCTTGCACCTACAGTATGCAGTTCCGGACTTGTAACGGGATCATATTTTGCACTTCACCATTGACTCGTCCTTGAATGTGAAGTAAAGAGCCTTGGAATACATGATGGAATACGTCCACCAGTGGAACCTACCGTGACACTCGTGAATCTCCTTGCCGTGCAAACTTCCTGTCTATCAACTTCACCCCCATCCTGCACTTCACCACTCTCTCGTCCGTGAACATGAAGTATCTAAACAAACTTTTAAATGATAATATATATCTGACCAGTAGAAGGTGCCGGACCTTCCACTAGCTATGAAACGAAGAAGATAGGAGACGCAATGATGCAACGCAAAACACAACGAACCCCACATGCTCAAAAATAAAGACCATCCTTACAATTCTGTCATGAGATCCCTCACCACTCCCGTGCCCTTTCTACCCTGTGCTCCATACCGTCCTCAGAACCCCTCCTCCCCGCTCTCCTCTTCAAATGCCTCCTAGCATGCGCATGCCTCTCCCCCGCCCCATAACCCTCCCTAGCCTCCCTCTTCACATCCTCCTTCTTCACCGCCGAGTGCACCAATGACCCATTCTCGCACCTCGTCCCCTTAGACACCTGCTGGGGAACCGCCCACCCGTTATCACATATGCCAAACCACTCGTCACCAAAGCAGACAGCCACTTGATCCTTTTCGCACTGCTTCTTTTGGGGTTTTCCCGAACCGCCTGTATCGCCACCAGAATCGGAGTCCGAGCCCGAGTCACCCGCTGCGTTGTTGGCCGAGTCTCCGAGTCCCGAGGTAGCGGCTGGAGGTGCTGGTGCAGATGCAGAAGCACCACCACCAGTGTCGACCCCAGCCCCAGCACCGGCAGTTTGACTGGTAGCAGCAGCAGGAGGAGCAGATGCAGGTGGTGGACCATTGGTAGTTACTGTTAGCTGAAGGGTCACGGCTGCGGTTACCGTAGAGGCGATGTCTGCATCACCGGCGCCAGCTCCGGTTTCCGTAGCGTTGGAGTCATGACATTCTCCTCCCTCTGACTCCTTCCCATCTCCGGACCCAGCACCGCCAGTAGCGCTAGCCGTGGCAGCTGGTGGTGGGCCATCGCTAGGAGCAGTGACGAACGTGAGGCCGGTGTTGCCTTCGACCTTGGCACCACCGCTGGCACTAGCACTGGAGATGTCAACGATGGAGATGGAGCTCTGGCTGGTCTTGGTAGCAGTGGCACCAGCAGCAGGAGCTGAGGTGGTGGGCACAGCCGGTGGCTTTGCAGTGTTTGTAGCGGCAGCAGAAGCAGAAGCCCCAGCGTTGACCCCTCTCCAGATGCAGGAAGAGTTGATCCACCATTAGCACCGCCGCCCTCCATTATTGTTCTCTTGTCTACCTTGAAGCTGGGCGTATGATTAGGAGGAGGCATATCGCAGAGCTTGTTGGGAGCGAGTGGTGGGTCAGCGACGTCGAGTTTGTCGAGGACTCTGCCGAACTCACCCGGGTAGGGGATGTTGACTACGTTCACGCCTTCGCTCGTGACGCAGCCGTCGTACCCGGGAATGTCCTTTTGACCGGGGATGTTGGCAATGAAGATGTTGGGGAGCTTGTTGAAATTTTCTTTGGAGGGCGTGCCCCCTGTTATGTCGATGGGAGCGCAGTTCCTTTTGTGCGAACAGGTGTCAGTAAGCTCTTCTTTCATCGATCAGGTTGTGTTGTGGGGACTTGGCTGTGACTCAACGAAGAAGGTGTGGCCTTTGATACGAGCCGCTTGATATGGGATAGAATGAAGGCAGGAGCGACTTACATGTACATCTCCCTGTTTCCGATCTTGTTGAACCAAGTCCAAGCAAAGGTTGCCTTTCCGGGGGGCAAGCTGTAGTGGGTGAATTAGTTGACTGTTCTTGGAATGTTGGATAGGATCAACACTAGGCGAAGGTAACTCACAAGTCAGGGATGGGAACCAAAAAGGACCGGGTGCAGTCCTCCTTGGCATCATCATTACAGTGTAAAGTCTCGTCTCTTTGTGATGGGTCCTTACCGGCCACCAATGGCAGATTTGAACCGAGTTTCTCTTGGGCCTCTGAAAATTTTGCTGGACACCCGCCGATGATGGTGTAGATGGTCTTGAAGGTGGCCGAGGTGTTCCATCCGTTCGTCTGCTCTGGGTCATCGTATGAGATGCTGAACTGGCAAGAGCCGCCGCCGTGCTGAGCACCTCCAGTGAAGTTAACCAGCTGAAGATCACCGGCCTTCACTGTACTGCGCTGTTCAACCCGGTGGTGGTTCTGGCATGGGTATTTGTAAAGCCCTCCATCCAAGGGGTTGACTTGTACCAACTCGGGTCCGGATCCCTTGTAAAGACTGTAGCCATAGGGTGTGTTCATTACCATATGTCCTTGGACACTGGTAAATAGAAGAAGAGCGGCAGCAGCCGTGCTCGTGAAAAAGTTGTTGTTGACCATCTTGCGAGTCAAGAAGGGAGTTGCAGGAAGCCCAGCCTGTAATAATGATCGATATAAAAGTAAGAAAGTAAGTGAACTCAAGAACAAAAGATGGGTGCAACAACTCCCCTCCAAACTCCAGAGCAGGTCTGAGTTTTTATACCTATATAACTAAACTTTCCCAATACCAATTGGCCGCCGGTCACCAGGACAAGGATTGATTGATTGATAGCAAAGTGGCAAAGGGGACTGGACCGCATTTTCCACATTATTGTAGCAGCGTGATGAACCACGCGGACTGGGGGCAAACATACCGGACTTGAGGTTAATTAGACGCCCACCGGTTCAAGCTGTTCACTAGGTGGCATTGACTGATTTTGGGTGTCAAGCGCGCCGCCGGGCATCGCAACTTGTAAAACGGCATGTACAATTGTACATGGATGGTATTGAGGACTGGAATCTGGGAAAAAGGAAAGGGGGGAAACGGGAAGGTCTGGAACTTACTTGCGACCTTTCTAAGCGCATCGCGGCGGGTCTGGCTGAAATGAAAGGAAAGGCCCAAAGTTTCTTGTTCTGCCCCAGAACATGTGAGAGGTCCCGTTTGACATCAAACATTTGTTGCCCGGCCTGAATGGTGAATGAGGGGCGCTCGACGGTTCATGTTTGCACAAGGCGAAACAGCAAAGAAGATCGGGTCAGGCCAGGCAAGTAAGGTAAGTAGTTGGTGATGGTATGCAAAACCCGTAAACTGAACTCAATGGAAATAGGCGGTCAAGATAAGAGAACCTCTGCGGAAGATCAAAGGACGCTGAGAACGAACGGTGGTGTATCAAAGGCATTGGTTCCATGGCTGTTCAAGCGGCGCCTACGTGAACAATGGCTGTTGTTGGGTGCCGTCGCTGAAACGAATTCGAGCATCACAAAGAAATGCCAAGCGCCTCGCTTGGGCGTTTGCCATTCGAGGCCAGTCCCGTCACTGAAGTCATCAGTTTCTGACAAGTACAGACATATCGAAGAGAAAGAACCCTCCTGCACCCATCATACCTTGCCTCCGCAACCATATATCCGACAATGTCCTGTCATAAATTACGGCCATCTTTACGGGTAATTTCAGAATTTCCCAATGTATTCGCTATGACGGATGTCACAGCCAGACGTAATTAGGAGCTCAACACCACGACAGCAAAGTGGTGATGCAATGTGACAGCCCGAGAAGAGGTGCACTGTGACGTGCACTGAGAGGGGAAAAGGGGGAAATTTTACGGCTGCGAGAAGTCGGCTTTGGACGTCAGGTACTACGAACCCTAGCCCTCTGAAACAATAAGTGCGTATAAGTCGGTCTTCCCATCTCGGGAGCATCTCGGGAGCATCATGCACTAAACAGTGACCAGACAAATATCTTATAATTTTTTTTTTTATTCAAGATAGGTATGAGCCAAAAGATCTAGCATCTAACTAGTCCATCTATCGACCGACCAAAGTACTCGACTTCTATGGGGTATACGCGGGGGTATTTATACACCAAAACCATCAAGCAGTGGTATAATGCAAAGAATGCAAAAAGGGAAGAAAAAGCAGAAAACAAGGTCGCGCAAATGAGGCGCCAGTAAACCACAAACATGGGGGCATCTGTCAAAAGACATGACTGACAGATGCCAACAGCAACAAAAACCAAACACCCGGCGGGTATCATCATCACACAAGGGTTATGGCCGTAAAACCCCTTTCTCTTTCTTCCATCTCTTTCCTCATCAATGCTTTCGTCGTTCCGTATGCATATAACATCCATTCAACCTCCTCATTTTCCTTTTCCTTCTTTTTCCCAACCATTCATGTCATAATAAAAGGACGTCTTCAAACTCATTAACGCTCGCTCTTGGTGTTGATACCATCACCGAAGCCGGACTCGACACCGCGCTCGTCGACGACATCGACGTGGCGGGGGTGTCACTGTCGCTCTGGTCGGTGCGGTCGCGCGACTTCTCCTCGTCGCGGCGGTTACCGCCCTCGCCGTTGGAATCGCGGTCGACGAGACCATACCTGTTGGCATAGGTTTCGATCTCCTCGGGAGCGAGATGAGGCAGCTCCTTGGCGGCCTTGACGTACGACATCTTGTCGACATAGCCCTTGGCGAAGATGATGTCGATCTCCTCGAGCGAGCGGCGGGCCGTCTCGGGGTAGAAGAAGTAGATGATGGGAATGAAGGAGGCGTTCATGCAGGCGAAGAAGAGGTAAGTTCCCCAGCCAATCTTGTCGACCATGATGGGAGTGACCATGACGATGAGGAAGTTGAACATCCAGTTGGCGCAGGTAGACACGGCGTTGGCCTTTCCACGAGTGCGGATGGGGTTGACCTCGGCGGGATAGAGCCAGGGGAGGGGAAGCCAGGTGGCACCAAAGAAGGCGATGTAGGTGAAAAGACCGACGGCGGCGCCGCGGGCCTTCATGGGGTCGTCGGGGATCAAGCAGGAAAAGACGATGACCATGGAAAGCATCTGGCCAACGCTACCGATCAAGAACAGACGACGGCGACCGACTCGCTCAATGACAAACCAGGAGACGGTAGCGAAGATGGAGTAGACGATCATGTTGATACCACCCAGCAACATGGACATGTTGTGGGTCTCGCCAATGGAATCCTGGAAAAGGATAGGGAAGTAGTAGATGACGGCGTTGCAACCACCGACTTGCTGCATGATCTGAGAGCTGGAGCCGAGCAAGAGACGACGGAAATGCTGGGTCTTGCCGCCAGTAAAGAGAGCCTTGAATGGAGTGCTCTTCTGGCCGTAACCGCCGGAAGCACGGAGGGAGTCGACAATAAGGTTGCGCTCCTGGAGGGTCTCGGGACCGTCGATCTCGTAACCACGGAGAGCAGCAATGACCTTGTCGGCGTCCTCGGTGCGGCCGTGGCTGAGAAGCCATCTGGGAGACTCGGGAAGGTAGAACATGGGGATGACGATGAAGATGGCGAAGATAAGCTGGAAAGCGATGGGGAAACGCCAGACGAGGTCATCGGGACCGTAAGACGCGCCGTAGTCGATCCAGTAAGCAATCAGGGTGCCAAAGGCAATGACACCACCTTCAATGCAGATGAGAAGACCACGGTTCGATGTCTTTGAGCATTCAGCTGCAAAAGGCGGTTAGCGTCGTTTTGTTTGTCCATGGTTGGTGAGGCCGGGACGTACCTTGGTAAGTAGGAATGGTCGACGTGTTCATGCCGTTGCCGAAACCCATAACGACTCTGCCGACGAACAGTTGAGCAAAGGGGCTGGAGCCGGCCTGGCAAGTAACCTGAATAATGACACCGAGAGCCATGATGAAGGCGCCCACCATGATATTCTTGCGTCTGCCCAGCAAGTCGCCGGTCCAGAGGACAAACATGGCACCGAGCAAGCATCCGATTTCGTAGATAGCAGTGATGAGACCCTGCATGGTCGAGTTGTCTTTGGTTTCGGTGAAGAAGTTGTTGAAGGCGGGGGCGGTAATGATACCGCTCATGACACTGTTTCAGGTCTGTTAGCATTCGGTTTCGTTTTCTTGGTGAGGTTCGTGGTGTTGACTGCTCACCCTTGATCATAGCCGAAAAGAAGGAAGCCAGTGGTGGCTACAGTCGAGACAGCCAGAGAGAGTGGTCGGCCTGAGAGGCCCAGAAACTTTGGAGGCGCCATATTGGGTTGGCTCAGTGGGATGGAATGTGACGGATGACGGAATTCGAGATCAAGACTTGCTCTGGGTGGGAGCGAGGCCGTGGATATTTAAACTTCATCGAGGTCGAACCCAAGCATGGGAGGCGGACACCATGACCGCAGGCCAAGACGAATCAAATACAAGGAGAGGTCCCATGTCGCCCATGTTCAGTGTGAAGTGTGAACATCTTTTTGCCAGGGCCTTGCGAGGACCCCAAACGGCGTCCCATTGCGTTGTGAAACCAGTGACAAGCGGTGGGACTCGTAGATGTTGGGTGCGTGGAGAATGAGGACGATCACAGACTCGGAGTCGTGCGTGGGGAGGCCAGCGGCCAGCGGGTGAACTACGGGGAAGCAGACAAAGTGGAAGTGTTCATCTTGTCCCCATTGGGCCGCGTCGTGCTCGGTGAAAGCTCATTTGCTGGCTGGGGGTCCATCGAGGTACACACGGTGAAGATACGTTACTGTGACCCCGGTTTGTATTTGGGTCGTATCCAGTCGTATTGATCCCCTTCTTTCCATCTGTGGTTTTGGAGTCTCTCGCATCTTTCCTTTGCTTGCAATGGAATTCTCTCGCCTGAAGAGGCTATCCGCGGCGCCTTCCACAGTCGTTAGCCAAGACACCAGAGGCAACAGGCAAATGCAGGGTCGTGGTTTCCAGGAATTGGGGGTCGGTCATCATGTCATTATCAGCCGTCATCATTTGTCCAAGTTCACGGAGGACATGTCCCTTTCTGGAATCCCGTTCGAATGTTGGATCTGTGATGGACAGAGGCAGCCTTGTTGCCCATGAACATCACTACCACCCGGCTTGCACCCTCGCCTTGGTCTACTGCAGCCGGCCTGGTAAGCGCACTTGAGCAGATGACGATCAGGACCATGATCGTCCCCATGTTATTCCTGATAAGCCAAGTACTGCATTTCTGTGATCAGGGCTCCCATTCCTACTTGTGCAATGGCCTATGGTACAGACCACACAGCTAGTTTAGCTTATTTATACCACGTTGTTTCCTAGGCGCAGGGCGATGGATGGAAAGCAACCGTTACAATCCTTCATTTGATCTTTAACACGTCCGCGGGTCGACATTAAAGCCACGCATGGCAACGATGAAAAGTGAAGTTGAAATTGGGAAGGTGAAGAAAATGGTGGAGTAAGTGGAAGAGTCCTTTCCCCAGTCGGGGACTTCACCCGCAGTTTGGAGGAGCCGCTCCAGTTGGGCCCCTGGGAGCAACTGAAGCCCACGCCGCGAAGCCTGGAGAAAGGAAGTTCCCACTGCAGCGTGGGGCACATGAGGTCATGGCGGGGCAATTTGCATCCAAACTTTTTCTACGCCAAGACCACCAAGACGACCAAGACCACAGCGCTGTGAAAAGGATGAGCCGCCGGCTGTTGCTTGTTGCCTTTGACACGAGCTTGTCTGTTTTTGCCCGCGTCTTGTCCTTCTGTTCCTGGGAGTTGACCAAATGTGACGAATGAAGGGAAGCAGCGCTCTTAGTGCCAAGCTTACTAACAATTTCTGAAGTGCCGTTTGGCGGGTGTGGCGTTTGCCGCTGCACGGTACGGACACACTGTCCAATGGCGCCTCTTTTGATTTTGTTCGCTTCTGTCCGTCGAGGGTAGTCTTATTCATCTTTGGTTTACTTGCTAAGAAAACCACGACCTCTTATTGCCGCTGGCTAACATCATCGCCAACGTCCAAAAACAAAGACATGACCAAAATCAAGACCCTTTGAGGCAGTCGTCATGGTAAATCCAAAACAAAGTATCTCCCCATCTGGATACTCCACAGTCCACCTGAGCTCATGAACATCCGCCGGACTCCAAACAGTTCCAACCACCCTGCGGCTGCCCCCCCGCAACCCCATTCCCCGCCTCTCTCCATTTCCTACCCGCACTGCTGCGACGTTGATGCTCACTGTGGACCGCGGCAATGGAGTTGCAAAACCACTTGACTCAAAATGCGACCTCTCATATTCTCTCGCCGTCGTCCACCTTGCTGGTTTTTGTGGACTCTCGGCCCTTGTTCGGTCGTTCACAGTGTCGCCAACCACTCAAAACCACTGGGCTTGACGACCATCCATGATGATCGCTCCTCTTTACCCCGATTTTTTTCTGCTTTTCATGTGACGCATGTCGCACACGGCCACCATGCCCCCAACAGCCGGCTGCAGAATGCCAGAAGAGGCAGTAGACATCAAATCCTGTCGGGCTGGCGCCGGCCGAAGTGTTCACTGGTCTGTCAGTAGCTTCACGTTGACTTCAGAGCCAGCCCGGTCTCGAACATGGAAATTCTCCGTGATGGCTTCCATCGATGCTAACGTTAACACCGCTAGGGACCATTCCCACACATGCACCCCCAAAAGTGTAACTATCACGGGACCCTGTTACCGCTGTTGGGACACGACGCTTTCCAGGCTTCCCCAGAATCTATCCGTTCGTCTGGGGCCGAAAGGGTCTGGGGGAAATGAGGAGAAGGACCAACACACACGTGCGCGACCGCCAGTCTGGAAATTTTACAACAAAAGACATGGAGGCCGGGGACACGGAGTGGAGAGCGAAAGAGACTCTGAGCAGAAAGGCATGGTCGCACCCGAGCTCATCACAACCAGGAATCATCATTTCCACTTTGGACGTCTTGTCTTTGGATGTTGGGAGGCATTTTCGGCAGGCACAGACATTATCACTCAAAACATCTTTCGATGCTCGCAGCTGGACCGTCGGTTTCCCACTCTTGGGTATTAATCAGTGGCTTATCATTACCCCAACCATCTTTGTTGGCCCTGACGATCCGATCACCCGAGTAAGCAATAATCTGAACATGAGAACAGAAGCAATTCTGTTCCAGAGGTACGTACTGCGATTATCTCCGCCACTGCTACTCCACCGGCAAAGATTCCCTCCTATAAATCCCATTCCTGGCAGCCAAGCATTTTATAAGTAATCTTCAGGGGAATGGCGACTGCGATGGACAGCGGTGGATGTGCCACCTCGGTATACACCGACAACACAGACCTGCCTAGACAAATCACAGTACTACACAGTAATAGCTGACAAAAACAACCATTCTCCAGAACTCACTCCAGTTTTTTTTTTGGCAAGCTCTCGAGCCTTTTTGCCTTAGACAGCCGTCACTATGTCACTGGTTTCTGGGTACCTGAATCCGAATCTGACATCCGTAGACCTGTCAAAGTTCCGGTCTGCCACACAAGCCGTTCGTCGCCTTACCGCCTATCCCACATTCCCGTTCAGCCACCGAACCCCCACGCCGGCCGCGGAACGGGAGCCCGGCGCCGAAGAAGCTTTCAAATTGTTGACTCGTCAGGGACATCATCGGACTCGGCAAAACCACGGTATGCGATACTGTAATGCCCGCAAGGCTTGTCGTATTTGGCATGTAAGTGGTAAGCCCCGGATCCCAGCGCAAAAATGCAGAAAAAAAATACTTCATCTCACGGGAGCGACCTTGGCCTTCGGATAGCAGTTTTTGGCACCCTTGACCCAACGTGCGATAGCGATAGGACGACAATCATGCCGCCGTGCAGAAACCGAATCATGTCGTCGGAACGGGTATGGCAGCCGTCGCCGGGTTTCTTTGCCAAGCGTTCGGTGCCTGAGCTTTGACCGTTCTTGGCGGAGGAGGTCCTTGACCGCAACCATCGGATTCTCGGCAAACTTGCTGGGGCCGCGTACGGGATCGACACGCCAAGCCCGATTACCGGTATTAGCTCCGGCTTGGCTGCTCCTGGATGGGGCCGAATCTCCCTCACCGAGACACTGTGTCGCGGAATATCTCTGCCGGATCCCTCCGAGCTGACTAAGATGGCATGACCCATTCTCAACGCCTCTGGATGCAAAGTTGCCCATCATGGTGAGATGTCCGGTTCGTTTTGTCAGTGATATTATTGTCGGGCATACGAAACCAAGGGATCAGTCTACCCCACGATTGTCCGAATGACTTGATGATGGGAGGCGATGGTACATATATGGCCGAATTAATTTCAAAGCTCAGCCTTGAAGCATGTCCGATCCATATGTCCGTTCAGTGTACTCTGCTGTTGGAGAAGTCAGCAAACTGTATCCAGTGATATTCATGTATGACTCGCTTTTATCCGCGTGTCTACAGTACAGTATGCAAAAGTATACTAGCGCATCTGCTTTGCAAGAGCCTTCATGCTCTGCATGTTGTTGTGTTGTTGCCTTACCGGGTTACTCCATGGTTGCCTCGTGTAGGGTATATCAAAATCACCGCTTCGACGTTTCAGTTTTGTTCTCCCGATTGCGCTCATCATAATCACAGCTCGGAGATTGGTACTATTGGCTTTTTATGGGGTTTATTTTTTTTTTTTTTTTTTTTTTTAATATCCTCGGCTTCTGACCTTATGATGTGCAACAGAAAGCGGGAGAGTGTCCTGTTCTGCAGCATGCACTGCGCATCGGACATTCGTCGGCTATCACTTGTGAACTTGCCCATTTCCACTCCGTCCTCTACTTTGTGTCTGGGTATGAGTGCAAAATGGCGAGGTTAGAAGATTCAGCGATCTACCGTTCTCTTGCCTTTATTATGTGTCGAAACTGGCCGTTAAGATCATCAAGATTAGCAGGAATGCATTCTCAACAGTACGCGGTAGCAGTTTACACTCAGAAGGGGGTGTAAGTCGCGGCTAAATCACCAGCTTGCACAGTTCAAGCCGTCTTCCAGGTCTGCGGATGCGTTGCGGCACAAGTAGATCGTGAAACAAGATGGCGGTATAAAGCAACTGCTGATGCTTTTTCTAGGCTTCTCCTCGCTGTCCGAAGTTTGATATCTGGGGGACATTTACCCATCCAGCGGGAAAGTTGCCAACGTCTCGATTCCCTTCGCCCCTAAACCACGCCATTTGACCTATGCTATCAGTCTCTGCTTACTGAGTTGGTATGCAACATCCGCCGTCGCTCCGTCAATAAAATCATTCATCATAACGACAAGCGTGTCGAACCCACACGTCGCCAGAACGTTATCCCTACACCACGGCAACGTCTTGGAATCACAAACTGCCTTCGTTGCCAGGATGCAGCTCGACGTCGTGCCCGCTTCCAACACCGAGAATGCCACGGCCTTGGGTATGTTCGTCGCCGTCGCCTGACACTGGATGTTGATGAACGCCTTGCCTTTCCAATTATTCTCGGTAAGCATCCTCGGAAAAGCATCCACAATGCTCTGGCCATCCATTGTGGCGTTTCCCTCATCCGTATACGTCGACAGACTATCCACGCTCTCCATCATGATCAGCCTCTTCTTATCCCTCCTCAGCTCCGCAATAGTCGCATTTCTCATATCATTCTCATTTCCAACCACTATCCGATCACCCGCCTTCTCCAGGGCCTTCGCAAGATACTCCCTCTTATCCTGATCCGACGGCTTCGCACACTCTGCAGGAACCCCATCCCACCGCAGCTGCACCACCACAATCTCGCTCTGATGCGCCAAGAGGAACGCCACCACGTCCGCCAGGAAAACATCATAGCCCATGCCCGGAATCGCGCCGTGCTGGAAATACAACCGATCAGGCAAACCGTCCTTCCCCTTCTGCATCGCCGCTCTCACCACACTATGACAATACGCCGGGCGAAACTCAAAGTACCGCGCCCCAATCCGTAACATGGCATCCAGACTATCCTTCTGCGTCATGGCCAGACTGAATATAATATTCGGCGCGATCAGCGCTATTGCGGGTCCCGAAACCGCGTCCGCTATCTCCGCCATGATCCGGCTATCGTGCACCAACGTGCCGACCACCGCGCCGCCCATCTTGTTCAAAAGTCGCGTGCTGCTCGCCATGCTGTTCATCCCGGAGTCATGCGCGCTCGGCAGGACGAGTCTTCTGAACCTGCGATTCTCCTGCCACGATCCCGGCGGGATCAGGTCCTCCATCCATCTACTCCCCGCCGGCGACACGGCGATGTAGCACTGGTGTCGCTTGGGGAGGATATCCTGTCTTTGTGTCGTGGGACCGCTCTCGTAAAAGCCGTACGTGACAACCACCTCCCTGCGCTTTGGTGTCCCGTCGGGATCGACCCATGAGAAGATTGAGGGCGTAGAAGCGATGCTATCCATTGTTCCGCCCGTCGCTAGACCCGTGACGGCGTTGACGTCGATCCATTGTTCTGTTATCACTCTGTTTTCTTGTTGCCCATTCACATTCAAATTGACGCGAAAGGAAAAACGCCCCTTTTTGTCGAACAGCGAAGGGATGTTGCGCGCTTCTACTTCGATGGCGCGGGAGAAAAACTGTTTTTGTTTTGGGTCTGAAGAAGATGATTGGAAGACGACGGTCTCGCCGGGCACGGACAAGGTGATGCTGCAGGCGCCCCAGGAGGCGACGGTGGGTGAGATGTAGGCGTTTACGAAGATGCCCTTTGAGGGAAGCTTTTCTTGGATTTTGAAGGACATTTTGCGGAGGAGGGCTGAAGGGGAGGCTGAGGAGAAGGAGGACTTGGAGTCGGAGGCGGAGGCGGAGGAGGAGGAGGATGTTGAGGTTGGAGAGCGTTTGAAGAGGGTCTTGAGTCTCATTGTGGTTGTTTTTGTTAAGTTTGATGGATCCCCTTTCAGCAGCTTGTGGTGGTTGTTTGAGATGATGTTCACTAACCGGATTAATCAGTTGTTTGCATAGAGTACCGTAGGTGAGGTAAGGTGAGGTTGATGGGTAGGTAAGTGAATATTGTTCGTTGCAGTTGTTGAATGGCTGGAAATGGCAGTTCACACAGAACCAAGAAATGAAATGACAAGCCGACGTCGAAAGTGGGGTTGAGGGGCCTTATTATATACCTGCATGTACCAAGATCAAACATGAACCTGACGCAGAAAGGTAAGTATCATATATCACATATCGAGTAAGTTCTCCCGTTCAATAGGTCAATAGCTTCGGTCGAAAGCTTCTAGACCGGGAAGGGCTGAAAGCGTGCCAATAACCTGAAACAGGGGTGTGTGTCCAATCCCTCCGGGGTACCCTGGAACGACCAACCTGGATTGCAGACGTCACTTTCAGACTGGGTGTGTGCCGTGCCTGGCACGGACAAATGATCTCGAATTGATATCAAGACTCCCGAAAAAGAGGGTGACCGCCGACTGGTGACGGCTTTGCAGATGACAATTGACAAGTGATTGATAGGTGTGATGGGAAATGTGGTGATACAGCGGGTTCGCGTCTGGCGCGGGTGCCGGGTGGGTGGTCGGCGTGGTTTGAATGGCCAGCTGAGAGGTCGAAAGCCAAGGCGGGAATTTGAGGAGGCCAAGGACCAAGCAGAGGGCCAAGACAATGGAATGTCGAGACGTCCCCGGTCGCGAGATGTCGTTTGACTTTCAGGGACGCTTAGGCTGAACCGTTCCTTCGGGAAAAGCTAGGTAGGGTATGCAAGTAGGCAGTTGTACATACTGCATGCATGTATATATAAGGCACCATGGCTGCAATTGGCTTGGATGTTAACAGCGTCTGATGCTGTGTATGCCTGGTGTATAAAATAAGTATTGGCACAGATAAGACGCGTCCAGATTTTTGAATAACTTGCATGATCTGGCATATGAGTGGCTGACGTATATTTCGGCAGGAGGTCCTGTTGACCTGAACACTCAATAACGATAGATGGACGGACTGTCATCAGCATGACAAATTTGACAGTTTGGTTGAGAGAAGCCGATCCCATCGTCTCCATAGGTAAGGTACCTACCTTATCTGCACAGGCGTATATAAAATTGGAACATGGGCGTTGAATTGCGCGTATGTCAGCGTTGTGCCAATTACCATCGTCGTTTACTCACGGGATATATACGCCCGTTGAGCTTTGCATGCCTGAGGTATTGTAGGGAGCGTGGCGTTCTCAAAGATAAATAGGCCGAGTAGTACGGCGGATGCAGACATCCCACCGCAGCCTCTACGGCATTAGGATTTGTTCAGTTGGACCTTGAAGACCGTTCAAGAGAGTACGTATATAGCGTATATAATATGTGACAACACTTTCATCTCAAGTCGGCCGCAAAGAGACTTATACTCAAGAAATGTTTTTGATCTGCTCTTGTCTTCCCTCATCCATGTGCATATGTCAAGCCCATTCTCACAGCTTCGTATGTTTGGTTCCTCGTAAAGGGCCTTTTGTATTTCCAGAGGACTTGTCATCTCCCTGCCTCAGTTTTCATAGTCAAAATATAAATGTTTTCAAGTTCCCTCATCGGCGCCGTCATGCTTAAAGGAGTTTAAGCGGGAGGTCCGTACTGCGGTTTTTGGTAGACACCTCCCATCCATCTGTGATATGCAAGGTACCTAGTGCATTGTGGGTAGTGCATACTGCTTCCTCATTGCTCTTGCTCATACCGTAGCACCACCTTTTTGCGTAGAGGTATGTGTTACGATCCAATAGGAGACCACTTATGTAAGCAGCTAGGTAGACCAATCAGGGCTGCGCCGGCGCCTTATTGAAGAACCAGTGTAAAGAAAAGCCTTCCCAGGCCTTCCGAATACTGGGCTCTTCAGCAAGCAATAGCTATCACAACCTACCAGTGCCTTTCGGCTACTACTCCGTTGCTCTATTGTTCTATCCCAGCGATAATACTCCTGTGCTTGTAACGGTTCCTCACAGTATGTACAACTGTAGCCATTTTTTTTTAAAAAAGAAAATTGGGATTTCACCGTATCATTTCGGGCGTCTGGTTGCATTGTCCAAGACCCAACTGGCACAATCTAATTCAGATCCCGATGCCGCCGAAGAATGGGTATCCTCTGCCTTAGTCCTGCGCTTGAGCGCGTATCTTTAGACTGCTAGGGCAACCTTATACCACAAGCTTTCCATCTTTCTTGACCTGATCGCTCCTTTTTCTTAGCTGCTCATTACACTCAGTCACAAGTCTCCAAGTTCCCCAGCCCATTCTCTTTCCCTCTTCCATGGCAGCTTAGCATATCGCGAAGGCACCTTCAGGCTGCTCACGCTACCGCGACCGAAATCCTGGGGCACTTTATCTTCGATAACTCCACCGTACTATCTTTCATCCGGTAAGGTCGTGTTCCTTCACGCAGTAGCACGGTGGCAGAAGCCTTTGTTTTTGGTGGCTTAAACGGCTTGGGTTAAGGATAAAAGAGCTTCTCCTATTGCACTACTGACGGAACGAACACAGCCTAAGTCCAGTCGCGGCCCCCCATCTACCTCTAATCTTCGCTAACAGCTTTCGACAGTTGCAGACCTGCAAGGCGAGCACCAATAGCTCCCATGTATTTCCCCAGCATTGACCAATTGTTCATCGATCTGCCTGGAAGGCAAGCCAACCTCGCCTATCACCAGGAGCGCCACCAGCAGCCGCAATATCAACTTGCCCTGGGCCCGGTGATGCCCTACTATTCTACCACCACAACCACTACCACTACCACTGCGATTGCCCCCTCTCCTATGCTCCCCCACGCCTTTCCTCCCTATTCTCCTCGTCAGCAACCTTCACAACAAGAGGCAGCGTGTGGGCGAACACGACTGGCTCCCATAGAGCCGGCACGCAACTACCAGGCGATGGAAAGCTCGTCTAATGAACAAACCAGCTATGCGGGTGGCTCATTATCTTACCGAAGGAGAGCTGATCTTGCCTCCGTTCGCCAGATTTCTGCGCATGCTCCTCCACGTCCACAACCGACAGCGCAAGAGGTACCGAGCGGGACAAACAGGACCGGTCTGTATGATCCCATCAAGGGGAGAAATGTAGTCTTTCCCCCGCCTGAGCATTCGCTCGCTGCCACTGTGTCCATCAACCCCAGCACCATAGGAAGTTCATCTGACCAGGCGAGGAAATGGACGGAATCACCGAGGGAATATCCGGATACCACTGGGTCAAACAACGGAAACATCTCGACGGTCATGGGCACGGGACGTAGTCCCAGCCTCCCGGTCCCTTCCAGCGGGCCTGTCATCCGCAACTTGAACAGCGCCAGCAACAACACTCCATTTGCGGTCCCGAATGCCCGCAGCTAAATCGATGAGAGAAGTGATTCACGAAAAAGGCGTGCAACTTTCCACAGGCCTCTAACTCCTGCCCCTCCCCACCAATACCAAAAGCATAGCCAGAGGAATGCCCCCCTCCTAGAACCCCGTCATTAGGAACCTACTTCCACTCGCCAAATCCGCCACGACCTGGGCCCATACCTCAGAGGCCCCACAGGACGAACGCGTTAGTCACGTACAACTCCGAGATTTTGCAGGAAACAATCGTGCACCAGCATAGCCCCGGAGCGCGTGAGCAAGTGTATAAAGCAGCCTCGTACGGCTACACCAGCACGCCACAGCCAGGGGATACACGCCTCAGGCATGCACCGCCTCCGCCATCAGAAGGTCGAGGACAGCCGCCACAAAAGAAAGCTCACAACAGAGGCGACTCCCGTAAAAGTTCGGCGAGAAAATCGAATGCAGAGAGGCAGCTGACTAGGGAGCAGACGTCTGCTACAAAATTGACTGCTCCTAAGTGTAGTGATATTTGGAAGGAGTGGGGCCCCGCTGGTGGTTTTAGTGGCGGTGCTTCTGGGCATCCTGGCACTTCTGGTGGTAAAGTTCCCTCACACCCTCATCTGAATCCACCTTGCCCCCTTCCGCACTCCCTAGAGGTAACATCCTACCTCCAAATATCCATTCAGCTGCCGCTGACCCAGTGATTGGAGGCGCAAAGTGGATGATGATGCGGATGTCCACGTTGTGAATATAGAAAGTTGTGGTAAGTCAGGAAGAAAAATTCCTTTAGTGCAGTCGCAGACTTTGTGCGGAGGCAAGAGGAAGTACGACGAAATCACGGCAGCGGAAACCGGAAAGGTCGTGGCCGAGGCACTGGCGAAATATGAACCACCAGCACAGCGAACTAAGACAGCGACTACGTCCAATTTCGCGGTCGCCAAGGCGTCAGTAAGACCCCTGGCGTCAGTAAGACCCCTGGCGTCATTGAGAAAGAGCGAGAGGATCCAGAAGCCCGATTGGAATAATTTCCAATAGTATGCCAGAGGACAACAGGGATTGGGCAACTGGCCAAGACGGTCAGCAAGAACAGGGATGTTAAGATTCTCTTGGGAGTACACACCGAGCATGTGGCTGGATGACATCTGGCCAAACCTCGTAAAGTACCCCCGAACAATTCTGGGCGTTGGCGGCGTTATGACACCAATGGGACATCCCCCTAGTATGGCCGCAGCAGCGATAAACAAAAGCTTTAAACATTTGTTGAATAGTTGATGGACACTCGGCGATGTCGACTTGAGCCCGACTGGGAATAACAAAATAAAGAATGATTCTGCCAGAGACTGGTACGAAATCTCCTTGCCGGAAAATTTCTCATATGTGCTATGACATTGTGTTGAAGGAAAGATCGAGTGTCTTCTCCGAGTTGTTTTTTCCCACCTGTTCCAAGCCAGGGGTTAAAAGTGGGGCAAAGATGGGTCAAGAATCTGAATGCATTCCTTTGTTCCTTCCTTGATTGATCCAAACGCACTTTCGTCTTTCCATCTGAGCTCCTTCGTCTTCCAAAATAACCCGAGGTGAAGCTGCTTCATTTGAACACTAGGATCAACTTTCCTTTTCCCAGGGCCAGATGTGCTGTGTTGGAGAGCCCGAAGAGGATGATGACGCCCAGCATCCATATAATCAGGCATCAACCATTTTCATACAAAGTCCATAGAGTTTTGTCTGACTGATGGTATCCTTTTATTAGAACTCTTCCTTCAATTCCTGAATTATTTAATGGCGATGTAGGGGGCAGGTTGCAAAAATTGTCGCTGCGAATGCAATTAACTAATTCCGGCCAGGCACAATGGGATATTGATGGAATTTAGCCTCAGCCCTGTGAGGTTTACATCTTAGAAGTCGGAATATGTAATTTTTCTTCCCTTTTAGCTTGAGGTTGCGGCCATAATACACTTTATCTAAAATCCATGGCGTGTCTCTAGGTTTCTATGGGGTGCGGGTAGGTTTACTCAAAAGAAAACCAGCAAAACAGAAAAAGAAAGAAATACGAAAAAAAATATGCGCGGTACGGGATTCGAACCCGGGGCCTCTGACAGTCAGACTGGCAGTGCCCCGAAGGGGACTGACATGAACATCCAAGTAATCGAAGTGCCATTACTGAGCCAATGTGTTGACCACTAAACCAACCACGCTTTTCGTTGTTGAAAGAAGGTCTGAGGAACTAATATATATACCCCCAGTTGTAGGGTCCTGGTACTTGTAATACCAGCTCTGGTGCTGCCGGTGCTTACCTCCTACCTCTATGAAACTGGCAGTTCAGGACTTGGTGACGTGGTGACGTGGTGACGTGCCTTCCTTCCTCAATAAGTGGGTTGGGCGAACTGGTGACGCTTGCCGTGGTGGTGAGTTTGTACTGTGTATCCATCCCGCTCCTCCCCTTCGCTGGCAGGAGGGTCACCGTACATTTTTCTTGGTGGATCAGTTGTTCTTGATTCAGCAAACGCGACCCAGCACTACCGCTCTTTATCGGTGTTTCTTTCCATCATTCGCGTGACCCACGACCTTCGTGATGCGCGCCCACCATACTCAAAACAACCCAACCACTTCAAAATTTCACCACAGCAGCCTATTACATACTTCGCCATTGTGCTTTCACAAAAACATGGGCGACAACCTCAAGCGATGGATCGTCTCCTAGACAGGCTGGCCAACAGGGAGTGCAAAGTCCGCTCAGTGGAAATTACCTCTTGCACTCACTCGCCAACTATCTATCACCGAAGATCCTACCGTGAGGTGTTGCAGCCGCTCCTCCCTCCAGCAATGCAGGCGCGTCAATATTCCCGCAAGCATCCACTGCAGATCAAGCAATACCTCCAGTCCCCATCACACAACCACACTGGGACACGTACTTCGAGCTAGACTGGAACTCCGACAGAACCCTCGAACCAACCCTCCAGTCTTCAACCCCTACTATCATAGCGACGCGCACGTTCTACCCCTTCGGCGACACACCCACCGGACAGGAAGGGCAAAGATGAGCCAGTCAACGTCTTGCTTCTTGAGTCTGGCATCTCGAGTCTGGCAGCGTTCGAAATGTGCTGTTCACAGCGCACATGGCCATGGCGCATCAGTTGGACATCAACTGTTGTAATGTTGACAAATTGGCGATGGGTAGACATGTTTCTTCCCCTCTATACCTCTTCAAGCCCTCTCTTCTCCTTCTCTCACCCCTCCGCATCTTATGAAAAGAGTTCAACTGACAGTCTCTAGACGCGATATGTAACAGCACGCAATATCATGCTCCCTACTCTTCCGGTCGATCTTGGCCATCTATGTAGGTGTTTCATCCCGTAGAACACGCGCAAAATCCATTCCGCAGGAAAATCCGGAAGAAAGTGTATAAAACCTGAAAAAAAAAAAAAAAAAGGCCAGGAAGAGGCGCTCAGAGATTCGGAACTCGATTTCCGGGGCAAGCTGCGCGATGAAGAAACGTTCCATCGAGCTGTTGACCATCTGGATGTTGAAGATCCGTTCCCAGAGCAATGCGCGATGACAGCAGAAGAGGCCGTGTCCCGCGACCTATCAGCATCATCGCAACTCCTTATGCAGAATCGCGTGGATAATCAACCTGGATGTCAAGAGGACTAAGAGGTGCCTTGAAACCCGCACCAAGGTACTTCCATACCGAATCGATGCCGAAGAAGAAGAAGACGGGCTTTGAGGATTTTATATATGCGCCTAGTCCAAGAGCCAGTCCATCATGGCCGAGGTGGAGGCCAAACGTAAAGCTGAAGAGGATTGATAAGTGTGTCATTTTTCTCCCCCCGCGAAGGCCTCAACCTCTTGTACTCTCTAAACGAAGAGATGCCCCCAGGAGAAGGCATGCTTGTGGAATACCAAAGCGGCTAGAGTGAAATGCCCGTCTCCCTTTCCTTCGTGTGTTGAATGGCACCAAGAACACATCTACTCACATGGAGGTATCTGCCACAATAGTCTTTTGGTGGTGATTCAAGTACATGCATTTGTGCATGTACTGACGCTACCTTTGAACACCTGCCTTTGGCCTTGTGAAATGATTCGCGCAGTCCCAGTTTTATTCCATGTCTTCAGTTGTGCCTAGACAATAACACTCTTGATGCCCAGGTTTACCTTATCGAAATACCCAGGTATCCTCCGATGTGCCGTAGACCTTCAATCCATCGCGTAACCTTCACTTCAGATTACAGTCGCGACTCACCTCTCCCTCAAGACGCGTCACCTTGCCCCCGCGATGCGCGATGCGACTAACCATCTGAACCATTCAATATCAGCCTGTCCCTTGTTTCAGGGTGCTACCAACCACGTGGGATGATCAAATTGCTATGGACAGAAATTCGATATCGAGTAAAAGCCCATGTACGACGTGAAACCCGGGTATGGCTGAATTGGCTGAATTGGCTGAAAAGTGGGCTTGGTGTCAGCGCGGCGGTGTCAGAATGTTGGAATTTTGTTGAGAAACTGGAGGAACTGGTTACACGGGGTGTTTCGCTAGTCAGGTCAGTCAGGTCAGTCAGTTCTCAGAGGCTGATTGGGGGAATTTTCGATATTTGGGAGACATGCTTCGAACTGTCTGATGGACACTTGAACGTAGCTACCTTAGGCACTGTTTTCACCACGAGAAGATGCGGAATTATTCGGCCCATCGCTTGAGGGGCTGCAGTATGCGTAAAACTTTCAAAAAGCGAGGTTCTCGAGAACACTCTGTCTGGCATTAATGAATTATCACTAGTGGAAAGTAGGTGTGGCAAAGTTGTAGGTGATGCATGGACCGGAGTCCCTCGATTTTAATGTCTATGTCGTCTCCAAGAATTTTTAGTACAGACGCTGAGGCGAGAAGCTCAAGAAAGGGGGAAATGGGTTGTAGATAAAGTAGAGGATAACTAGTGAAATGAAAAACTCCTCACATTGACCGTATGCCGCCGGGTATTGCAGAAGAAAGAAAAGTCATGCCTCAACGCCGTAAGTCATCATCATTCTACTCTGTCCTATACCACGAAAAAGTCCATACCACCCATCACACCGCCCGTTTACCTCCTCCTTTTGGCTTCATCGGTGCACCTGCCGTTGCCAACGCTGCCACCAGTAGCGCTACCCTCTGAGATGGGCAGAGGCACGTAGGTGCGGGGTCTCCAGCCATCACTACCACCGCCTGAAGAGGAGCCGGACGAGCCCGAGGACGACGAGCTAGTGTAGCTAGAGTCCGAAGAGCCACTACTGGTGAAGGTGTGGTTGCCGCTGTTGGTGATGATTTCCTCGGGCATCTTGAGATTTGAAGACGTGTTTCGCTTTGTTTTCTTGTTGCGATGACGACGACGAAGGAGTTGCCTGGAAGACAGAAAAGCTGTGCTTCTGGACTTGAAGACTTTCAAATAAAGTTAGCAAAGACTTTGAAAGACGGCTGAAGGAGGATCAACGTACTTTATACGGGAAGCGCCCGGTTTGCGAAATGTGAGACCTCGGTGATGATTTGATGTTGTGGCGTAAGTTGGAAAATAAGGGTCCGAAACGGTAGTTTATGACCTGACGGGGTGTCTGATGTAATCTGCAAGATGCCGACTGAGACTTGCGGGTAGCAAGGTTCGACTGGACTGGTATTGTATGTGTGTGAAGGGGGAACTGATGACTTGGGATGAATATGAAAAATCCTAATATCCACGGGACGAAGCGCGTTATATACGCGACAAAACAACAACAACAACGACGACAAGTGTTCAGCAAGAAACCGATCACCGAAGAGAAAACAAGCAATACCAATCTCGACAGGCGTTTACTGACCGAGATGGCCAAGACGTCTGATGATGGTCATCACCAAACACTTGCATAGCCATCAGCCTCACTCATCGAAAACGTGCACATGTCGGTGTGTCGATGACCAGTAGAATTCCACGCTCAATTTGCCCCTGAATTGGACACATAAACAACAACGGTCCATCCTCGCGACATTACGTCTATTCCAACATTCTCCCTAGGGTGCCTGGACCCCTTTCTCTGCAGCCTCTCTCGACCCAGCTTCATCAGAAATCGATGCGAAGGACTGTGTACCGGCCCTCAGACCTGCCTTGAAATCGGCAGATTGTGTTTTCGCTGTCTCGTTTCAAAGTGCGCAATGTATTATCCCAGCCCTCGAGAGGCTGTCAAAACGAGACTCGCCTAGGGCTCCCTGTGCGGCCGAACGGTCACTGAGCGGTTACACGTGCCCATTTTCCGGCCCCTGGTAAACATTGCTTCTGGAAAGTTTCCATGTTCCACTGGTAAACGCCAAGTGTCCGATAGTGTGAAAGGGCATTTTTGCCCGAACATGCATAACGGCCGCTTATAACCCGATTCCGATGCCTTGGTTCCAATGGTGCATACGGCTCGATAGCAGGAATGGAGATCTGACCGGCCCGGGGATCGTGTATTAGTGGGAGCGCCAGTGGTGACCTAAACCTCCATCCAGGGTCATTGCGTAGCTTGTGTAACACCCATCGACTACGTTGCGCCCAAGAGCTCCAACGCTTTTCTTAGCTCCTTCACCGCCGTGGGAACATCTTCAAAGTTCAATGCTGAAATCGCCCATTTGGCATGCTTCTGAGCCGAAGCCATGGCAGCTTCGTCGGTGACAAAACCACCAGTAACTTGGGAAGAGGGATAAGTTGATGCAGGGACAGCTAGTGGAGCAGGCACATGCTGTAGACTGGGAACTGCAGGAGCTTGAGGAGTTGAGGGAGCTTGGTTCTGGAAGTAGAAGTCAGTTGGCTGGTTGACAGGTGGTGATGCCACAGCAGCTGTTGACGGTGCATTGGGGGCAAACGTGGGAGGAACCACAGGCGGAGCAGGAGGCTGGCGATCAGCATCCGGCGTCCAGCCTGCAGCACCCGCATCAGGCATCGAGATATCAGGATCAGGGTAGGATGACAGTGCGCTCGGGGCGGATGGCAGATCGGGCTCAGGCGTGTAGTTGGCAGGGTTATGTGTGGGAGCTGAGACCGGAGTGTCCGAGTCCAAGGAGACTGTTGACGGTGCTGGGTCACTAAGCCCACTGGGTACACCGGGCAACTTGAGTTCGGCTTCGGATATCGGGGATGGACCAGCCGAGGCTGGGCTGACTGGCAAAGACACTCCCGCAGCGTCGGCCCTCTGCAAGTCTCTGTCTTGAACTTCCTCCACTGTGACGGAGAGGGGTGGTGGTGCTGTCTTTTCGACTGACCCCATCAATGCCTGAACTTCTGGATCACTGGGGTCCAAGGCTGGCTCTTGGGGTTCTTCGCGTCTCGGGTTGGACTCGTTAGGGTCCTTGCCCTCCTTAATAGCCTTGGCAATGCGTGCGGCATTCCACTTTGCATATTTAATCTTTTGTTGCGTCTCTTCATCGGGAGGGCCCCAGATGTTGGCCAGATGGAAGAAGGTAGCGGCGGCGTCGAATGTCATGGCCGTTTGCTGTGTCACTTTGTTTGCCTTGACCACTCGCTCGGCGCGATCAAGGGTGTCCTGTGCGAATCTGTCGATGGTGACCTTGGCGACCTCGTCGTCGCTAATGGCATCATTCTCCGGGTTTTCGGCTCTTATCTGTAGGGAACAGCAGTCAGCAAGGGAAAGTGGCAGAGGGAAAATGGGATAAAGCATGCCTGTTCCATCTTGTCCATCAAGTCCGCTGTGTAAGCCGCCAGCTCCTCATTCGTCTTGTGGAGTCCCCTGTTGATGATCTGGTTGACGACCCAATATTCGCCTGCGAAAGTCAGACACTGCCGAACCCTAGTTGTCTCGGGCTACTCTGTTTTGCTTCTTGTACGTACACCAATATGCAATATCCGGTCTTATCGACTGGAGCTGGAGGGCCTTTGTCGCGGATTTCCAGAGGTTGATATCGGCCGCCTTGACAGCAGCGGGAATCGTCATGTTGTCTGCCATGGCGATGGCCTTTAGGCGGCTAACAGGGCGGCTTATACGTTCGGATATATAAGTACGGCGTGTCAATCGACTGTGCTGGATCAGTGTCAAGTTGCGCGAGACAGAAAAGAATTATCGCTCCCGTCGATGTTATTTCTTTCTTGAGAGAGGAGGTTGACAGTTGAACATTGAACTGGCGTCGTCATCTTCCCGCGGTTGTCGCTAGGCGGCACCCATTGTTAGCGCTTCCCACACTTCTCGTCCAGCGCTGCGGAAAGCACGAGGGACCAGGCCGTGTGCTTGGGAGCTTGGGCCACATTCCGGTCATAGCACGGCTCATACCACTGGAAGAGGCCCCCGAACCGAGTTCCCCTGGTGCCAGATTCTGGACGGTTCTGACTTCATTTGTTTGTGGCGCCAGCTCCCCAGCTCCCCCAGCTTTCACAGCTTCAATGGAAATGTGTTCTTTTGCCGAACATGGAAAGATGACAACTTTTCCTTTCATCTCGATCTGTCCCTCCGTTTGCTTCTCTGGGTGTTCATAAACATCACACAATCCCTCAAGGGCTCTCTAGGACAAATACAGGAGAGCTTCCTTCGTTCTCATTCACTGATCCGCGATTGTACCAATTCATGACACTGTAGTTTCAACCCCCACAAAACCTTACTTATCATCATCATCCCCGCATACACCACATATAATCACAAAGTAAACAAAGGCACAACACCTTCCTGACTTCATCATGCATCACCCCACCCTCTGCGCTCTGGCAGTTGGTATCCTGTCTGCGCTCCCCGGAGCCCAGGCCGGTCTATATACCAAAAAGTCTCCAGTCTTGCAGGTCGATGGAAAGGATTACGATAGGTTGATTGCCAAGAGCAACCAGACGACTGTAAGTCTCAAAATACGTCAATAATAGTAAACGACAAGAGTCTGACCTCTTTCCCACAAAAAGATCGTTGAATTCTACGCCCCCTGGTGCGGCCACTGCCAGAACCTCAAGCCTGCCTACGAAAAAGCCGCCAAGAACCTCGAAGGGCTAGCCAAGGTCGCCGCCGTCAACTGCGATGATGACGCCAACAAGCCCTTCTGCGGGAGCATGGGTGTCAAAGGGTTCCCTACCCTCAAGATCGTCCGCCCTGGTAAGAAGGCCGGCAGCAAGCCTGTGGTGGAGGACTACCAGGGCCAGCGCACGGCCAGCGCCATCGTCGACGCCGTGGTCTCGCGCATCAACAACCACGTCGTGAAAGTGGAGGACAAGAACCTCGACAATTTCCTGAGCGACAAGAACGAGACGGCCAAGGCGCTGCTCTTCACTGACAAGGGCACCACCTCGGCCTTGCTCAAGAGCGTGGCGATTGACTTCCTCGATGTCATCACGGTTGGTCAGGTGCGGAACACCCAGTCCAAGGCCGTCTCAACTTTCGGTGTCGACAAGTTCCCTACTCTGATCTTGCTGCCCGGCGGTGATGCCCCTGGTCTCGTGTACGACGGCGAGATCAAGAAGGCCGCCATGGTCAAGTTCCTTTCCCAGGCGGGCCAGCCTAACCCGGATCCAGCACCGGCCAAGGCCAAGAATGGAGGAAAGAAGGACTCCAAGAAGACGGACTCTAGCAAGAAGGCCGCATCCTCCTCTTCAACTAAGTCCAAGTCGTCCGAGACATCAACATTCTCCTCCAGCGAGACCGCCGCCCCAACGCAAGAAGCCCCCGTAATCATCAACACCGCCCTGCCCATCCCCACACTCAACACCCCGGAGAAGCTAACCAAGGAATGCCTCACCTCGAAATCCAACACGTGCGTCCTCGCCTTTGTTTCTTCTAGCAGCGGCGACAAGTCCCAAAAGGCCCTTGCAAACCTCGCCGAACTAGCATTCAAACACGCCCACTCCAACCGCAAGCTCTTCCCCTTTTACGAAGTGCCCCTAGCTAGCAACCCCGGCGGTTCTGCCCTTCTCGCCTCTCTCGGCCTCGATGTCTCCTCTGAAACCTCTGATGATATTCAGATTATCGCCATCAACGCCCGCCGCGGCTGGTGGCGGCACTACGACTCCGTTTCTATCTCTGACGACTTCTCAGGACACGATAAGCTGGAGGCGTGGATTGATGCGATTAGGATGGGCGAGGGGACGAAGAAGAAGGTGCCTGAGGGTGTGGTTGTTGATGTCTCGCAGGTCAAGGAGGAGAGTGAGAGTAAGGCAGAAAAGGCAAAGCCTGAGGAGGCTGTTGCCGAGGAGGAGACGACGCCGGAGGCTACCAAGGCTGTTCCTACTGCTGATGGTGAGGAGGCGCCGGTTACGCCTGAGGCGAGCGAGGCGACTGCTGCGGCGGAGGGTGAAGAGGAGGAGTCAACTGCGCCGGTTGATCCTACGCCTGAGCCGGAGACTGCGGCGGCTCATGATGAGCTTTAGTGGGTGAATGGGAAAGGTGTGGTTTGCTATGACTGTTTTAGCACATGGCTGATCAGAAGTTGAAGCTGTCTTGGTTTAGGAAATGCTTTCAAAAAGTTGGCGGATGTTTAACAGAGTTAGTCGTTGCTCACCTGCTCATGAGCTCTATTTTTGATGCATTTGGTAGTCGTGAACTTTGTCATTTCGTTCATTCTTTTGGAGACCCAAACCATTACAATGCTACCTATCCGTACCATACCATGTCCAATCCCAATGACCTTCTTGACCAGTAGAACCAGTAGGCCCTCAATCCAACTCCATATCATTCAAGCCAACCCCCCTCTCCACCGTGCCCTCCTGTATCATCTTTATCCCCTTCTCCCTCACCACTCGATCCAAAATCTCCCTGACCTGCTTACACCCGTCCACGCCCACGGCCAACATGCCCTCCAGCCTGCTGACCTGCACTCTGCTCTCGCAGACCAACACCGCCACGCGGTCGCTGTCGCCCAGCGTGGCCACCGTCAGGCCGGGCAGCTCCTGCTCCTCCTGGTGGTTCATGTCCAGCAGCGGGTCCGCTCCCTCGTCGTTGGCCGCGTATGTGGACGTCGAGCCGGCCGTGCAGGCCGCGACGTAGTCTGTCATGGGAATACCCGCGTCGACGCAGGCGAGCGTGGCGGCGTTGATGAGAGCGGCAAGCAAAGAGCCGTCTTGCGAGAGCACGTGCAGAGAGATGTTGATGGTAGAGTGCGGGAAGAGGTGCGTGTGCAGGGACGCGGCGAGTGCTTGGGATATCGTCGATTGAAGCTCAAGGATGTGCCTGGAAGGGATAACGGTTAGCATGCGGACAGACGGCAGGCTTGAGTAATAACATTAGTGGGGGCGCAAACTTACTTGTCACCTCTACCCCTCCGCTTGCGATCAACAGAGCTAAACCCAGCAATCACAATGTTCACGGCAACCTCAGCGTTCTTCGACTGACCACCGCCGCCGCCGCCGCCCGACGTGGCTCCCCTCCGAGGACCGGGCTCGCTGGGTCCGTTGACCACACACATGACCTTGGTGTGACCCATCTCGAGGTAACTGGAGCCGTCGGCGGCGGCCTGGGTGCGGATCTGGGCATGGATGCGACGAAGCTCGTTCCACCTGCGGCCGTCGACGCGCAACAGCGCGAGGCTGTAAGCTGAGGTATCGAGAGGCATAGCTGTGTTGTGTGTATGGGTGTGTGTATGTTCTAGTGTTGCACTATCCTCCTCCGAGTATCGTGGATATCGGGCTAATCTCTCTACCGGAATAGCACTTCGAGATTGGGGTACGGTATCCAGCAAAGATCAACAATTGCCCTGGGAGCTGGACCTGCGTCTAGAATTTTGCCTCCTGCTTCTCCTGCGTAGTGTAGACCAAGCTCAGCTTAAGCTGTGTAGTACTGTAGGTATCCCGGTCGTTCTTCGGGTCGGCTCGGGGACTTCCAATCTGGGAGATGGTGGTTACTGTGCACTGGCTTGGTGGGACACAGTTTGTCGGCTCGATTTCGTCGCGACGCGCAAGCTCTCGGTGCTGTACGTGTTTCGGAGTTGAGAAAAGGCTTGCGTAATACGGGAGTGTCGGGCCCCAGTTTTAGGAGGTCTAGAATATCTCGAAAAAGTGGAAATCGTTGACTTCTTTGCGAACCGCCTTTGTTGATTGATGATGGACCGACGAGGACGTGGTTTGCGCAAGACCGAAAGTTTCCAATCAGATTGGCAAAGACAGGAAAAGTTTAGCTGAGCGGGGCGGGACAAGATCCGCCGCGTCTCAGGTCCGCGGGGTCGCTGCGGCCCACTCCGCGGCGGGAGTTCCACAGCTTCAACTTTTGCTTCCATCAGGAGCTGAAGTGCATGCAGGTGGTCTGTGCGTCGGTATGCTTGGAGGAGGAAAGGAGCTGGGGCCATTTGCACTTTGGAGAAATTGGAGCTTTTTTTCTGATGTCGAATCTCGGCCAGAAGGAATCTACGTACATGGTGTTGTTGTTATTCATTCCATTGCCTTGGCTACTACTCTCATTCGGATCACAGTAGCACATCCGCAGGGACGAGATCGAATGCATGCGCCATGCTGGGGGGATCATCGATTGTCTTTGATCGAACACAGGGAGCATGTGAAGGCAGAAGCAATTCCACCGCAACTAAAGTCTGGATTCAGGAGTATTCACTCAGGGGCACCAACGCCATGGCAGTGGCAGTGACCCCTTGAAAAGTGCAAGGAGGAAACAGGCATTCCTCCATTCTCCCCCTCGCCAACTGAATACGGGACAACGGACACCAAGATCATCCCATGGATACCGCGATTCGTTGGCTGTTCGTAATGTTCGATTGGTCTGTATTCTTGGAAGCTTCGCTTGAACGCCCCGTTCATCTTTGATCATCTCGGACCCAAGAGTAATCCGGTTCTGAAAGTCTGGAACGCGCGCCAATACTCCTGAGGCTCCGTATCTGGGGCGCGGTTAATCGAGAGCTGGTGGAAATCGATCAAGTTCCAAAGGGGATCCGGTTTGGTGTTTTTTGGATCGAGATTGTTCATGATCGAGTTTCTACCTAAGAGGTGCCGTCGACGCATGATGCAGCCCTAGGCCGCTAGACTAGTGCAGATTGGCCTAGTCAACCTGGCCAAACAAAAGATTCGCCATCAGCCGGTCGTCACCCAGTGACCACAATGCCTTTATCAAGTGGTTTCATCAAACGCGGTTTGTTTCTTGTTTCACTGTTCAGATGGCGCGCTTGCTCTTTGAAGATTCATGCTAGGCCCGGCCAGCCCACGGGGTCCAACGGGGAGAACGGGAGAGTGAGTTGCCAAGTCTACCAAGGAACGATCCGACAACGCCAATTCGCATTGAGCTTTTAATCAAACTGTGGATAAACCGTGTATGGGCCAAGGGGCTTCGCTATCACATTTTGCGGTAACCACGGCGGACATGTGTTAGGGATCAAAGCTCTTGGGTGGCATTGCCCCCGTTCCTGTTCATCTCGATTCGGACCACCGACTGCGACCAGGCTTTGAAAAGGGAAGGACGGTGACAGGGCTAGTGCTGTCACCCTTTGCGCCAAAGCAACCATTCCCCATGCTCAATTTCCAGAACACCATACAATGCACGTGCACCTCTTGGGCGAACCTCCTTTGAGTGAAAAGATAAAGAAACCGTCGATTGAAAGTCGCGAGTAGAATGCTATTGTGAATGATGAATGAAACAAAAGGACTCTTTGACTTTGGACAAACGTGATCTATTCCTGGTTCGAGGGCACTGCGAAGTCCTGCGTGGTCAGCGTTACGCCTTTGTGCGTCGTCGAAAGGTTCCATTGTTTCCACCACTGAATCGACCGAACTGCCGGCGGAATTGGGTGGTGGATATCAAAGGGGCCAGCCAATCAGAAACGTCAGGTACCTGAGCAGAAGTCGTGGACGGCGGGTCACAGCTGGCCACTCAGGAACAAAAGATGGGACGATCACCGCCCTGACGAGTGGCAGGGACTGCGAGACCCACCCGGTCCACCTGTCCAGACCAATCTTCCAGGTGCCAGGGATCAATTCTGCCAGGCCCTCATTTCAGCGCCCCGGGCGACGTCGCACTGCCCGCTGTGTGTGCCCCTGCAGGCGCCGTCTGCAGTCCGCCGGGACCACAACATGGGCCAGCCCGCTCGTCTCTTTTAACCTCTTGACGCCCTCCCCTTCCTCCCTCGCCATTTCCATTCCTCCTCCATCCAACACACAACGACGCACAACGCCTCCTTTGTTGCGCTTCACCACACTCTTTTTCAACTCTTCCCGCGCAGATATCCCAATCTCGCAGCCATTCATTTAGAAAGCGGTCCCACGCTGCACGAACACTCCTTGGATTGATTGCACAACATAGACAACACGTCTCTCAATTGACCACCAAATACACTCGACATTTATCAAGCCAGCTTTCAGCGTCTTTTCGAGATACCCAACATCCTTGCGCCATCTATCCATTCCAACTAGACCAACAACAACTTCAACCGACAAGATGCAGCTCACCAACATCCTCGTCCTTGCCGGCGTCCTCGGCGCCTCGGCCATGCCTTCTGGCCACGCCCACCTTCACCGCGCCGCCCACCAGCAGCGCGACATGAAGTTCTACAAGGCTGAAAAACACTTCCCCATCCCCATCCATGCCGCCACCACCACCTCCTCCTCCGTTGCCATTCCTTCCAGCACCACCGCTCCTGAGCCTGCCAAGTCCTCTGCGGCTGTTGTCGAGGAGCAGGACGACTCCAACTCTACCGACGAGTACGTTCCCTTCTGCGGCGAGAACAAGAAGTCCAAGCGCGTTACCTACGCTCAGATCATGTACACTGGCAACACTGGCGACGCCAACGGCTGCGAGTGGAACTCCAACATGATGACCGTCCCTAAGAAGATCGCCGACAAGTACCACAACCGCATGTTCTACACCAACGTTGCCGATGTACCTTACCAGGTCGTTTGCGCCAACAAGATGGGCTCCGACCACGGTCTCAACGGCATGTTCAAGGTCGCCACCAACAAGCAGCTCGTCTTCACCCTCCAGCCTGGCGAGACCCAGATCGTCGTCGCCGCCGCCAACACCCAGGGTGTCTGCGCTTTTGCCCCCGAGGAGATTCCTACCACTGTGAACGGCCAGTATGCCGGTAACTGGGCCGAGTTCGACTTTGAGAACAGCAGCAACGGTGGCTGGTCTGGTGCCGATTGCTCTTCACTCGTTGCCCAGGCTCACGATATGGACGTTCCCGGCTGCCAGATCTGCGGCCACGACACCTGCTCCACCATTCTCCCCGGTGGCTTCGGTACCAACGCCTACACCAAGGGTATGGAGGCTGAGGACGGTATTGGCCTCAACATCAAGGACGGCCAGCAGGTCACCCTCAACGTCAAGGTCGGCTACGCCGGCAAGGACTAAACTTTCGGGAAAGAAACGTGAAACTTTGTCTCCGATTTCATGACGATAACCGACGGTGCCTTGTAGGCAGCCTGATTTATGGTGGTTCAATGTGGTCGTTTCTATCTTGCTTTCTTGTTACATATTTCATGAAGGAGCGGCGTGGTGTGCTTGGAAAATTGGTGCTTTCCCCGGCGAGGGTACGGGCTACGTTATCTAGGCATTTGTTAATTGATTACCATTCTTGATGACTCGAATGTCTCTTTGCTCGTCTATCAGTGTTTCCTATTTCCATCTTTCACTTGCAAACATGGCTGCTGCTGCAAGATCATGTGCACCGGCAATGCCAGCAAACGGCAGCCGCACAACGTCACAAATACATTGTACATGCCTACCCATAAATGAGCGGCATTTACCACCACGTACATGTTCTATACATATCCTTTGAACCTTCCGTTCCTCGCCTCGAATACGAGAAAACAATAAGCGCAAAACAGCCGGAGGTACCAGCTCCTGATGATCATGCCGATCAAACCCAGATAAAACCCCACAGGGCAGCGTAGGGGCTCCACGGCCCGGTCCCGCTTTTGGGGGTTTCTCTGGGGACGAGAATGCAATGAATCATTGAACCAAGGCACTGCTGACACAGGCACAAAGAAACCACATTTTGTTCATACATATTAACAAGCTTATTTGCGAATGGTGGCACAAGATGAGGGGTTTCGTGAAACGGTGCAACAGAGGTGGGAATTGATTCAGGACAGACAGCTGGTGAGACGCTTGGTGAGATGTCGTCAGAACAAGCAACTTCCAAGAACTTTTCTTCGTCTCCATCTTCTGTCTGGTGCCGACCACGATTTGATATGCAGTAGTTTAGTGTAATGCAACTGGGTTGGAGTTTCCACGCTCCGTGTTGCCACTGGGTATTGCGTGCTTGGGTGAACTGTACGAGTAGTGCCCCCTTTTATTGAACCGGCGGAATTTTTTTGTCCATTTGTCTTTCGTCCTTTTGTTGTGTTTGATTGATATTGTCGACGGTCTGTTCCTAAACGTCTCACTGTTGTTAGACATAACAACGGGACAACAAAATCGCAGGACTCTGCATGCTTCACTCGCACGTGGGTGACCCGCCATGCCAACCGCATGTTCGCAATTGTTTGGACTGGACGACAGGAGGTCCCGGGTCCCGAGGAAGGTTGTCGCAGACCCACCACCCAGGTTCGGAAGAGAGGAAGCAGCGACACCCGGTCGATCCTTCCCCGTCTGTCCCAGCTGGAGGTGGTAGATCCGGGGTTCCGCTCGGAAGGAAGGAAGGAAGGAAGAGACGACACTCGGTATTTTTCTTCTTTCTTCTTCCTGCCCCGCTCGCTGGTGGTTCGCTGTACCCAGGTTCCCAACGAAGGACGACACCCGGTCTTCTTCTTTTCGTCCTGACTGCCGGGGGATATTAGGCAGTTATGCTTATTTCAACCTGTTCCCGTACCGATCGGAATTCGCCATATCCCCTTTTCCAAGCTTTCCTCCATATCCAGAAGAACGATCGTTGCAGATACCTACTAGGAGACATGTTCTCTTTCTTTCCCTTTTCCAGTCCCCTTTTTACGCTGAAGTGCAGCTCAGTGCCGCCATCATCTGCTCATGCTTCGCGCGGTGTTCGACACGTCACGGCTTCATGTCTTAAATCCTAATCTTAGAGGTACCTCTACGTTTCACAAAACCGTAGATGTAGCTTGACGGTTTCTAGAACCTTGCGCGCGTGTACCTAACTTTATGTTGTATTTGTGGGTTGGGAGGCGATGAGATACCGTTTTGTTAACATATTGCTGCTGCTGCAATGCGACTGCAATGCTGACTGCTTTCCAACAAATGGTGCCTTGCAGTCTTACAGCAGCCGTTAGCTTCTGTATGTACATGGCGCAAGGCACCTTGCGTACATCCCTCTTCTAAGCACACGCTGTGTACGCGCGCCGTTGGATGATGTGCATAAATTAAGTACCTGATGTTGTGCTTGCATCCCGTTGTGCGCATCTAGTCAGCAGGTAATAGACTGCTACACTGGCATTTATCATTCGAGTTGGTGTGTGCATGGCTGGTCTATGCTGTGCGCTATGTCGTGAATCGTGTAGGCATTCCTGTGATACAAGAGAAGCGCTTTCATTTTACTTCTTGTTACTTTTCCCACGTCTTGTATCCCGTGAGTATGGAGATATCGAGATCGTTTCAGTTTCTCTGTCACTTTCGAGGTTCCTTTTGCCGTCAAGAGTTGCACGGGCATTGGAGGACACGTGGGACCATGTTTGTGGGTTGCGGTTCATGATGTAGAGCTATGCTGGAAATGTTTATTTGCTATGAGACTATCATAATGGATGGAAGGTGTTTGATCATCCAATACAGAAGTCTCATTGGAGTGAAGCCATTGTCTGCTCCATCAAATCAAAGGCTGCAACTCAAACGAGAACTTCATCTCTTCAACCTTGACGAGTAAATCCTCCCTCACACCCGGCCCGCAAGCTGCCGTGCCCACACCCGCAACCTTTGCGTCAAGCCTCACCAGCGTGGCATCGTCTTCCACGAGATCGCAAGGATGCTTTGCCTCTTCCAAATTCCTTGGGCTGTGTCTCGTCGCTACGAAACTGAAGTCTCTCTCGCAATTATCCGACCAGTCCTCCCTCCGCCCTGTTACAACCCGTAGTCCGGCTCCTTGAGGCTCGCGGATGGTTAGCCACATCGTTCCCATGCGATTGCCGTTCTCCTGTGGTACTTCGTAAGGGGTCTGCAGATCAGCGATGTGGTCGACAGACCAAATGCCGACACGTTGAGCAGCGCGCTTGTCAGGATAGGATTCTCCAGGTCCCAGGCCGAACCACTTCACGGCATCGAAACGGCGCGGGAGACGGAGATCAAGACCCACACGGGGAATGTGGGCGGGCAGTGTGTTGACGTGATCGGAGGATTGAGGTTTGAGGATCATCCTGATTCTGATGATGCCAGCCGTGTTGATTTGGTAGACTGTGTGGGCATGGTAGCCCCAGGAGAGGATCGGCGGGGACAGGAAGGTTTTGGTCGTGATTGAAACCTTGTCAGCAGTCATGGTAACGTCGAAAGAGCGGAGCTGACTGGTTATGGCATGGACGCCAAAACGCTTCCAATAGGGGAGGGAGATAGGGCTATCATTATCGGTGGGTGGGCGCCAGAAGGAGGGGATGATAGCCGCCCCGGTTGACGGGTTGGATTCGAGAAGGGACGCACCGCCGGCTATCCAGCTGGTGATATGGCCTTGTGTATTGTCAAAGTTGACCGAAAAGTTATGTCCCGTGATGGTTGTTGATGCCCCATCTGATTCGCATGCAGGTGGGAAATGCACTGGTATTTGCGACAACAGCAAGCCATAATATTTCCGCCATCTCCTATCGTCAGACGAAACTGGGATCTGAGTCCAAGCAACTTCATGGCCCTGTTCCGCCCATGATGTTGGGCATTTTAGGCGAAATGAGATTGTCAACCACGTATCATGTAACCAGGATGGACGGCTTGGAGTCAAGAAGACGTTCTCTGATGATCGTGGAGAGATGTATGGTAGTTCCAGTACACCAGAGCTATGCAAGGTCCTACTAGAGAAGGCAGAATGTTAGAGTCTCCGCGCAAAGTTATAATGGAGGTGACGGTATTTTACCTAGTTGAATCACTGAAATATTCGAACTTCCAGGTCGCGGTTAGATGATCGACCGTGACGAAGTCGTATGAGTTTGTGACAATCAGCGCCCACGTTTCATCAAACCGGTAAACCAACTCGACCTTTATAGGTTGGTACACTTTCTGAAGCTCGAGCAGGCCAGGTGTCGGCTTGTGGGTGCTGTACAGTAGGCCGTCCATGACAAACGTCCCGTCATTAGGAACGTCGCCATAATCACCCCCGTAAGCATAGTAGGACTTGCCATCAGGCTCTTCTTTCCATAGACCGTGGTTAGCCCATTCCCATATAAAGCCTCCCTGAAGACGAGGGTGAGCGCGAAAGGCCTCTTCGTAATCCTCGAGCCAGCCAGGCCCGTTTCCCATTGCGTGCGCGTATTCGCAAAGCACTATAGGCTTCTCAAAGGTGCCATCGGACCTCACGCCCTCAGTCTTGGCGAGGTTGATCAACCGCTCAACTGGTGGATACATGTAAGAGTACATGTCAGCAGACTCGGCTTGGGGGTCGCCTTCGTAGTGGACCAGCCTTGTCGGGTCGATGTCTTTTGCAAGCTCGTACATGGCTCTGTGATTTTGACCGTAGAAAGCCTCGTTACCCAAGGACCAGATAATAACAGAAGCGTGGTTCTTGTCCCTATGTATAAGCTGGGCCATGCGATCCAGGTACGCAGCTTTCCAGGACGGATTGTCACTGGTGAACTTGGCGGCATGGGTAAAAGTAAGCTTCTTTCGCTCTTCATAATCCACCTCTTCAGGTATATCCAAGGGACGTGCAATGGCGTCGTAGAATCCGTGACATTCCAGGTCAGCCTCGTCTATGACCCAGAGTCCAAGCTCATCGGCGAGGTCTAAAAGCTTGGGATGGGATGGGTAATGGCTACATCGTAAGGCGTTGATGTTATGTGTCTTCATAAGCAGCAAATCCTTTCTGATGAAGTCCAGCGGCACAGCACGTCCGAAAGTAGGATGATGATCGTGTCGGTTGACGCCACGGAATCTGATGGGTTGCCCGTTAACGCAGATCAGTCCGTTCTTCAGCTCGACTTTGCGGAACCCGACCCTCTGTTCAACCGTGTGGGAAGACACATCGTTGACCGTGAGCTGTATTGCGACAGTGTAGAGATGTGGGCTCTCCGCTGTCCATTTGTGTACATCGGTAATGGGGATGCTGAGTATCGCCTTTCTACTCCCAACACATGAGTCCTGTGCAGTGCCGACAATGTCCTGATTGTGATTCCGGACAGATACATATACCGCCGAGCGCGATTCGGTTTTGACGTCAATCTCCGCAATGAGTGTTCCATTTTTGTACTTCGTATCGAGATCTGTGCGCAAGAACCAGTCCTCGATGCGAGATTGAGGAAAAGACAAGAGGTGTACGTCGCGGAAGATGCCCGAAAGCCACCACTGATCCTGGTCTTCGATGTAAGAGCCATCTGACCATTGGTAGACTCGAACAACGAGCTCGTTGGGACCGGCGCGGTCGACATACTCGGTTATGTCGAACTCGGAAGGGTTCCTAGAACCTTGAGCGTAGCCGATGAGAACACCGTTGACCCAGACGTGGTAGGCGCTGTCAATGCCGTCGAATCGCAAGCGCAGCTGGTCGGTAGACGCCCACGAGCCAGGTACAAAAAAGGAGCGGCGATAGGTGCCAGTAGGATTTTCCGAAGGCACGAAGGGCGGACATACGGGAATTGGGTATTGGACGTTGGTGTAGTGCGGAATGCCGTGGCCTTGAAGCTGCCAGTGCCCAGGAACCTGGATGGTAGTCCACTGGTCCTTCCACTTGAGCTCGTTATCGAATCTCGGCCCCCTCTCTGCGGTCGGGTACAGAGCAGCTCGAGGACTGGGGGCATAGTGAAAGTCCCATCGGCCATTGAGCGAGACAGAGGCATCCTCTGGGATGTAGTATGTCCGTGGAGGCAGAGTGTTGCGCCGGAAGACAGACTCGTTGCAGTAGTCGGGTGTACCGTCGACTTCTTGAGGTGGTATGCCTCGAGACTGGGAGGTCATCGTTGCTGGAGACGGCCGTCTTTGAAAATTGAAAGAAGGACGGATAGACGAGAATGAAAGATACGACGTGGTGTTATCGAGGCGGAATCTCAAGCGCAAGAGAGCATGTCGGTCAAGTGGCCAGGCGTTTATATTTCAGGAAGCCGAGGTCGATCATCTTGTCGGAGCCAGCACATCAATGTCATTTTGTATTCTTCCGCAACAATCGATCATCGGCGTCGGCTTCAATGCGACGTCGCCGTTCTGTCCTGGCGTTCCTGGCTTCGTAAAGATCCATTGAAACGGTTAAAAGCGAGACTTGTCCGGTGATTGTCGCGAGAGGTTGGACGTGGTACCCCGCATTCTTAGCATTAAGAGTACAGGTTACTTGTAGACGCCATATATCTTGCACCAATCACACTCGATACGCGCGGTCCATGGAAGAGGATTGTTCCTAAGTTGTTTGTATGTAAGTGAAGAGAAAGGTGCAGGTCACAGGAAGTCACTCCGGTCAAAGAGCAAATGACGGCTCCTTCCCGTAGGAAACGAAACAAGCTAGTCGTTTATGGGTTAGCACACCGGTCAACTGCCATGACTGGGGGAAATGCGGAGGGCACACAGGTAGCTGTCGGGGAAGTCGGAGCCGAGCCAATTGTGCAAGGAGATTGGTTGGTGCGGTTGGCACCCTGCTTCAGGTTCGTCCCCAACCAGCAGCATTGCACTCCAACATCGGCTTCCATTCTCCAACTTTTCACCTCTGTTTCCTTCTTCACTTTTACATGTATCCCAGACCAGCTGTTTTGATCTCAACAGCCGTATCAAAATGCCACAGCCTTTGCCCGTATCTTGTTCAGCCGACTTTTTATTCCTCTCCTTCGGAAGAGAACAGATTCGACGATACAGTACCAGTCATTACTCCAACCGACAGCCATTGTCTGGTCCATTTCTTTACTCAATGGTCCTTCACATGTTCAGGATACCCATCACGGCGTTTAGGCACACTGGATAGATATACCTAGCCCTGTGGGAGCCACCCTCTCCAAATGCAGAGGAAAAGAGACCGACCCTGTTAGCGTCTTCCCCAGACTTACCCTCCAGATTCGCCTTCACGATGCACCTGATGTCTGGGGCCCTGGACCAACCCCGGTTATAACACCCTTGACAGTCACACCCTCCAAGTTCACGGTCTCCTTCGGCATGGCAGCTCACCATGGTGCCGCCGGGCGCAAAAGCAACATCAGCATGCAGGGCTGCACCAATCCAAGCCGCCTGGACTGACCCATGGCCATCCAGTCCAGCCATGGACGGAGGAAGCCCATTCAACGAGCTTATCACCACTTTGCCTTCATGGTATAAAACGACACCATGATCTCTTCACTGTCCACCTCAAAAGAGCTGTCTCTGGTGACTTGCCCTTTAACGACATAACCATATACCAGCCAGTCATCAACATGGCGCATAGCATCAACGAGAAGGAGGCCATGGGCGCCCACGACGATGCCTTCCCAGAATCCAATGTCGCTGTCCAGCTAGCCCACGATGTTGACAGCACAAAATACTCCCCTTGGTCCAAGAGCATGTTCCGCCTCTATCTTGTCCTCGCCTGTGCCTACCTCTGCGGATGCCTCAATGGCTACGATGGAAGTCTGATGGGAGGATTGAACGGCATGAAATCCTACCAGAGCTATTTCCATATGTATGTGTTCATCGACTAAGACACTCCGGCATTATCCATCAGCTAACCTTGGGTGCTCTTCTAGGTCCACTGCGGGCTCAGGAACCGGTCTTGTTTTCGCCATGTACAACATTGGCAGTGTTGCTGCTGTGTTCTTCACCGCCCCTGTCAACGACTGGTTCGGACGCCGCTGGGGCATGTTCGCAGGTGCTCTTATCATCATCGTTGGCACTTGCGTGCAAGCCACGACACATACCAAATCCCAGTTCCTAGGCGGTCGCTTCATACTCGGTTTCGGCGTCAGTTTCTGTTGCGTATCAGCTCCTTGCTATGTCAGCGAGATGGCTCATCCCAAATGGCGCGGCACCCTAACGGGCTTGTATAATACGACCTGGTACATTGGCTCCATCATCGCTTCCTGGGTCGTCTATGGTTGCTCCTACATCGAGAACAGTGAAAGCGCGTGGCGAATTCCCATCTGGTGCCAGATGATCACCTCCGGAATCGTGTGCTTAGGAGTCTTTTGGTTGCCCGAAAGCCCTAGATGGCTTATGGCCCAAGACAGATACGAAGATGCTGCCAAAGTACTGGCCGCCTACCACGGCGAAGGTCAGCTCGATCATCCTCTTGTACAGCTGCAACTCAAGGAAATGGCAAACCAAATCTCGTCAGAGGCATCCGACAAGAAGTGGTACGATTACCATGAGCTTTGGAACACCCACTCCGCTCGTCGCCGCCTTATCTGCGTCCTCGGCATGGCGTGCTTTGGTCAAGTCAGTGGCAACAGCTTGTCCTCCTATTACATGGTCAATATGCTCAAGTCTGCCGGTATTACCGATGAGCATAAAGTATTGGCGTTGAACGGTATCAACCCGGCCTTGTCACTTATCGGTGCCGTCACTGGAGCACGCATGACAGATGTCGTTGGCCGCCGTCCTCTTCTGCTTTACACCATTGTCTTCTCTTCCATCTGCTTCGCCATCATGACGGGGACCAGTAAACTCGCAATGCCGGGCCACGTTGGCAATCTTGATGATGCTGACACTCAAACCCTTACCCCATCCCAACGTGCTGCCGCTAACACCACCATTGCCTTTATCTTCATTTTCGGTATCGTCTTTTCTTTTGGCTGGACAGCCTTGCAGTCAATGTACATCGCGGAGACACTCCCCACCGCTACCCGTGCAAAGGGTACCGCTGTTGGAAACTTTGCGTCTGCTGCCGCGTCTGTCGTTCTTCAATATTCGTCGGGGCCTGCTTTCGAGAAAATCGGGTACTACTTTTATCTTGTTTTCGTCTTTTGGGATCTTATTGAAGGTGTCGTAATTTTCTTGTATTTCCCAGAAACCAAGGACCGCACCCTTGAAGAACTCGAGGAAGTGTTCTCGGCCCCCAACCCCGTGAAGAAGAGCTTGGAAAAGAGGAGTGCGCAGACGGTATTGAACACCATGGGAGCGCCAGATGACGAGAAAGTTACGATCTAGCTCGGCTGATAGGACTTGGATATGGGTGATTGGAGGTTGCGTGCATCATTTTAACGGTCAATCGATATTTTTAACAGCCATGCTTTCACCTACTGATTTTGCTACGCGAGAGAATACGGGGTTTGTACTGCAAAGTACAAGCCACCATAAGCACCCCGGCCTTGCCCAGATCACAGGTCTTTGCGCATAACTCATTTCAACGTGATGGCCTGATAATCTCCCAACGAGAAGCGTCTCCTGTTTGCGTATGCCACAACGGCATTCGGATCGAATGAGTCGGGGCCTGACATGATATCTTGCTCCTGTAAGTTAACCCTTCCCCAATCATCCCCTACCCCGTCACATCAGACCCCTTGTCCCTCCCGAGTCTCCGCTTTCCCCGCAATATTAAGGTCGGGGGGCTATGGCTGCAATGTCCCCGGTCCGTCACATTCATTTCTCTCCTCTCCACACCTCAACGCCAGGTTTCTAACTTCCAGCCGTCCTCCATCGGTCCGCTTCGGATCCAATTATTCTTCTAGTGTTCTTCGCCTTCGACGCAGATCTAGCACGGAAGTAATGATAATCTAATATGACTATGGAGAACGACACCAGTAGCGGGCCATCTAGGAAACGGCTCAGAACGTCCCACGCAGTAAGTTTGCTTTCTCCAGGAGTCTTACTTCCATGATCAACACATCACAGAGATTATCCGCTTATGCAACTTGTATTCCAAGTGTGACCTATGCCGGTCGAGAAAAATAAGGTTTGTTGATCGCCTTACTGTTCCCTTGGATATCTGCATGGGCATCATGCAAAGATTCTATGCCGTGTGTACGAGGTTTCTTCGACTTGGGATCCAGGTCGCTTACTATCTTGATAATAGATGTGACGGTAGTACGCCATGTACAGCTTGTGTCTCAACGAAAAGCGATTGCACCTACGGATCAGAGGCGAATTCGTAAGTTATACCATCACTCTTTTAACTTCCAAGGGCGGGGGGGGGATCACTAACTGACAGATATACCGGTACCATAGGAGAGGAAAAAGCGATCTTATCCTGGAAGGAGTATCACGTGTTGAGAAGTACCTTCACGAGTTAAACGCAAACATTGTCAGCTGCTCTACTTACTCATCGCGGCATCATGGGCTAACATTCGTCTAGGCAACATCGTCATATTTTGTTAACCGCAGGTCTTCTCAACCTGTGCTTTCACCCGCGGTCGGCTCATCTGCTGGGAGAGGGAGCTTCTCCGGCGGCTCGTTATCTGACCTACACAACACGACTCACCTTAGCCTCCGTCCACACCTGGACGGGCCACAAAACGACAACAACCTCGAGAACGCGGTTCTAGAATCACGGCACACGTCTACGACAGAGTCAATTCTGCAATGGCCCCATTTCGATGTCTTTCCCACTCTTCGCAATGACTACACCTCCATCTTCCACCTAGAGCAGTCTCGCCCCCGGATTAAGACGAAGACAACAAACCTCTACCCGTACATAACAGAAGAGGATGTCGACGGCATTTTGGGCACGTTCGAGCATGCCGTCAACTTCTGGTATCCCACAACGTCACAAGATCAGCTGCAGAACGCTCGGATGATTATTGCCAACGGAAACTTTGACGACGACGACGACGACGACGACGGGCTCGACGTCTGCCTTGCTTTGCTCACTATGGCACTGGGTTGTGCTAGCAAGGTGACAGCAGGCTTGGTAGAAGGCGCCACCCTTCCTGGGAGTGACCAGAGACGCAGAGTAACCTATCGTGCAACAGGAGATATGTACTTCGAGAGTGCGCTGAAGAAACTTTACGTTTCCCACATGGATGTCAACTCCGTTGCCGCACAATGTCTTTTCTTTGTAGCGTGAGTCGATTTGTTTACAACGCGCCTCAATCACCTCTTCCCTGCTCAAGTCCGCTTCAGCTCTCATTCTAACCGATACTGATCCTTTAAATTTCAGCCTGTACTTCGCCTTCCTTCGTCGTCCACTCCAAGCTTGGGAATACATTTCCGCCGCGGCCGCTAAGTGTTTGCTCCTCCTGTCATACTCACCACGTGATTCCACTTCTGAAGATCAAGAGCGTATCCGCCGCATCTTTTGGTCTTGCTACATCCTCGAATCAGACTACCTAGCTGAGCTCTCCAACTTGCCGCTATCAGGTATTGCTCGCATTGAATCCTCAGTCCCGCTACCAGGTGCAGGTTATAGCACGCATTCGACCCATCAAGAGGAGGAGCAGAGCTCGCTGTACTTCTTGGCTTGTATATCGATGAGAAGGCTGCTTAATCGAGTGCATCAGCTACTCTATGCGAGTGGAACAGGCGCCAGTTTGGATGATAAGCGTTTCCCCGGCATTGTGAAGGAGCTAGATCATCAGTTAGAAGAGTGGAGGAGTGTACTGCCAGAAACTTTCGCCTTCGAGGTTGAGTGGTCTGCACCCGCGGCAGAGTACAAGATCACCGGAGTAAAGACGGAGCATGGGGGATTCCTGAGGCAAAGGTATCTCACTTGTCGGAGTGTCATCTACCGGCCGTAAGTTGCAACCCCTTCACTACCATCAACCAACCCAGAAACAGTCACTGACATGCCTGTCACAGGTACCTTATGTGGATGTTAAGCAGTGCCAATGCCGGCTCCTGCCTTGAAGCCAGTTCAAGCGCAGCGACAGGTGGATTTGGTGGCGTCCAAGGTCCCCTAGCTTCCGTTCCAGCAAGCAGCACGGCCGTCGGCATGAACAGCACCACTACCCCGTCATCCATGAACATAAAGCTAGTAGAACGCGAAGTCCTAGCCAACTGCAAGGCTTGTCTGGATGCTTGTTTGCTTCACATCTTGAACCTCAGGGGATTCTCCCAGACAGTGCTGGTGGATACTTGGATTTGTTCACTTTCGTGCGTTCCTGTCATTTTCTTCTCCTTGCCTCGTCCGACCTGGAGCTTGCACTAACATAACACAATCAGAATGGCAGGCGCAATGCTCGTCCTCTTAGCAGCCTGCCGGATCCCGTCACTCAAAACCCTTATCGGGCCCGAAATTCTCCAAGCGGGAAGTCATTTGAGGGAGTTGTTGGTAGGGTGGCAAAAAGTACAAGGAGAGCCGAGATCGCCTAGCGTGGATCAGAGTGTGCACATCATTCACGAGGCGGAGAAGTTCACCAGACAGGTCTATGCGGGTGAGGAGGGTGAAGGAGCAGGCCGCCTTGAGGAGTGAAATAGGCGAGTTGCATCGATCGTGGCTGATGCTGATCTGAAAATAAGAAGGAATTGACAAAATTTCAACTAAAAGGCAAGATGGCCGAGCGGTCTAAGGCGCCACGTTAAGGTTAACCCTTAATCCGAGTTAAACAACTCAGTTCCGTGGTCCGAAAGGGCGTGGGTTCGAATCCCACTCTTGTCAACATCAATTTGATCTCCATCTCGCTTAAATGGGGATCGCCTCTTTTTTCTCCATTCTTTTTCTTTTTCGCCTTTGTCCCTTATTATTTCTCGGTCACGACCCTTTCTTCTGTCTTTCCATTCAACAAGATCTTGCAATGTCAATTGTGCAATTTCCTTTAGCAATGTGGTTGCAACCTTTTTCGTATAAAATATTCTGTGCTAACAAAAGAGTGGACGGCTAGTTACATGCTTTGCCTATTACTTCCAAAAGAGAAACAAAAGAAAGCCTGGCCAGGCCAAAAGCACAAAAGGAAGCAGTGTCTCGCGACGTCTCGTCTTGTAATCTTTATCCATCTTCATCTATCCTATCCTGGCTCATCCTCATATCTGGATCGTAGCGGTCTATTAACCACTCAAGCATGGCAGCAAGAGTCCTTGCCATTGCAGAACTGGTTGTTGGGAGGCTGGCAACGGCCCGGAGCGCCGCACCAGGAGAGATAGTCCAGAGTGATAGGGCTGGTGCAGTTGTAGGTCGCGTCATAACCGCGGCTGCCAATATTGGGGATAGGGCCCAGGCCCTCGGCGGCGAGAGCAGCGTTGATTCTCGGCTTCCAAACTGTCTCTGAGGCGGCGCAAATGTTAGGATTTTGTGGAGAACGATGGAAGAGACCGCTGGGGTTGAAATGCGAAAAGCAACTTACCAAAGTTGGCGTTGTTGTTCAAGAGCTCATGGCCGCAGTAGATTACGCCGACCGTGCAGGTGTCAGGCATAGGGCTCGGGTGCTGGGCGGAGACACCGGCACCGAGGAAGGCAGCGGTGGCGACGAGGACAGAAGTGATTTGAACCATTTTGGCGGGTGATTAGGTAGGTATTGCTTGTGTTGGTGGTTTAGAGTGTGTTGAAGTGTTGAAAATGTTGTGGTTACTGGAGTGAAGTTGACGCTGTTGATGATGGGGGGAAGAGCTGATGGAAAGAACACGGCCTGTTGGAGTCTTTATACTCGAGTTTTGAGGCAACCCCAAGGCTTGGGTCGTCGAAGGTGAGTTTACATGCCCCCAAACGATTAAAGAAGGACCTAACCGTCGAGTGTTGACTCGAGACATCGTCCCAAATGCGTGACAGTGCGGTCATTCATCGCGAGGTTTGCTGACTGACCTCCCAACACTCACCCCCCACACGCGCAGGTGGTAAGCAGGGCATTGTCTTCTGATTTTCTGTTCTTGGTCATATTCAGTGCTTCATGGAGTTGCGAGGCTCGCATTCCGTCGCTGAAGGGATTTCTGGGCAGGTGGTGTATGGGATGTTGGAGAATCTCCTCAGTTTTCACCTCCCAGAGGTGTAGGTCAGGGTGGCCGGTGAGAAGATAATGCCCGTTTAGGAGGCATCACGGTGGATTTTGCCTTGGATTTTTCTACCTATCCTTTACTTGACATTCTTTCGGTGAATGCGAGACGTGTGCTGACACTTGAACAGATCCAGTGAAGTCCCTCTCTTAATCTTCTCGGAGTTTGAACCTAACATCATCTTCAATGAATGGCTTCAAGCAATTCCAGTCCTAGTCCTTAGAATTCTCGAACCTACCATTTCTACACGATTTACTGGGAGATAAGGTGCACCTGAAGTCGTCCAGGATTCCCCAACCCATGGCTTGAAGCGGCTTTCGGCTCTTACCGACAACGAAGAACCAGTGCTTCGGTCTCGGTAGCTCACAGCCCTACGCAGATGACACTACGCCTTCTTGGTATTAGTGAGCACGGGAGTGTCGCTTGGTAATTGTGGGGGTAGATACCGGACAACAAAGCTGCTGTCCCAACGCAATGGCGTACTCCCAGACCCTTACTTGGCTTCAAGTCAGTCGTGTATGTTCGTCACTCGACGCACACTACCACAGGGCTTGTTCGATCAGCCCTACACTCAAACTGTTACCTGTTTCATGGTAGTGCGATGTCATAGAATGACCCGTCACCTAGGATTCGGGCTTCTGGACTTTTCATGCCCTTGTTGGGTGCCTTTTTGCAAGGAAAGAGCCATGCGCGCTGTCCGGTGTACCGCAGCAGCGGTGGATGGAGTTTCGGCAGGAGCTTCCGGCTGAGGTTATCGGTAAGGAACGCTCGTATAGGTAGGTATATTGCTTCATCAGATCTCAAGAGCTTGTTGCAACCGCTGGGTGATCTGTGTCATCTGCCCCACGTCTGTAGGGCTGTGACTTTGGGCTTGAAGGCATCGATGACCCCCATGCGGTCGAGTAACAGAGAACAACTATTCCAGGTTGGCATTATTCTGATGACCACATTCATGTATCTTGCACCCTCTTAAGGATGGATGTCCAACAAACGTTGCTGCGGCTTACATCGCTTTCCAGTCGCCAAGATGCTACACTTTGGAACCGAACGTGTGCAAAACCCGGTTCGTCCGGGTAAAGGTCACGCGTCTTATATTGCTCTAACCGGTGAAAGGGCTTCCGCGGAACCTATCAAAGACCCTTTCTCCCACGCACGCAGTTCCCGTCCACGCGGCCAGGTCTGGCCACGG